ACATGTATTATGTAGAGAATAAAGATGGTAAATTTAAGCTCAATCATGCATAAACTAATAATGACTTACACATCTACTTAAATATCGTGAGTTTAAAATTTAAGAAACTAACTAAAGTTAACGTCTAATTGGACTCAATGGAGGCTTTGTTACTCATCAACTGCAACTACTTTAAAAGTCATCCCTTGTTTGATATTATAAGAAAAATTAAAAATCTAACTGAGAGATTAAATGATCGCATTTGATCATATTTATAGAGAAGTAAATAGTTGTGTTAATCTCTTGGCCTGCAGACCTTCTTAGAAAAACTTCAATATTATGATCTTATATAAACCACAAGATGATTGTAGAAGCCTATTGACATTAGACATAATTAGATTTTGATCTTTCTATATAGTTTGCCATGGTCTTGCAGTAAAACAATTTTTGCAAGTTTATTTGAAGAAGATTTTAGGCGAAGCATTTCTCTGTACGTACGTATATGCACAGCAGAGAGACGACCGAGGACGTACTCCGACACTTGCGTATTACAATTAGGCAAGGCCACTGTTAATACTTTATTAATATTATGTATACGAATCATTAATTGTGAGAGGTTGATGGAAGTGGAGTGTGAGACAAACAAACAAGACATAACCCATCACAATCTTGATCGCCTCAAGATTTCTGGTATTGTCATGTCAACCAAACAGACAAGATTTTACAGCAACACGTCACAGTTTTGATCCTCTTCTCTCGATCGCGCTCCACTTTATCCGCCTCCCTTCCTCATGAATCACTCACAAAACTACTGTTTAAAACTTAAACACGCTTATTAATATTTGTAATATTTTATATACACGCATTCCTCTTTTGTGAGTTAATATTGTTAATGATTACACAGTGGCAGTGCCAGCAGAGCGAGGTGAAGCTGCTTAAGATCTGTCTGTCAAAATGCATGATCGCTGATGCTTTTCAAAGTACTTTTGTTCTGAAAGGATGTTCGTGTGGGTTTTTGCTTGCTCATCACTGGCCTTTGCCTGCGGCTTTCTGGATACCTTTTTTGTTTCTTAATTATTAATCATTACTTTATTTTACATACATATATATATATATATATATATTTGTTACGCCTGGGATGTATTGGAATCTTCCCCACAACACCAAGACCTAATTGATTATTGCATGCACGGATAGATATATCCAGGTGGAGATATTAAATTGGTCATCATGTGTATATATACCTAATTGATTTGATGGCACGAACGTCAAACGAACACGGCCTTTAAATCACTCAACCTTATTTCACAAATCAAGCCCCCCCCCCAATATATAAGCAACCAATTCACAGGCCTATGTATGTGGATGTGCGTGTCTTTTGGCCAGGAATGCTCTCTTGCTTCTTCTTGAAGTTTTCTCTCTTCATATTCTTCAGCGCACACCCACAAATAAAAAAACAAAATGTTCACAACTTGGAGAGAATCTCCGAGCATCGTGGCCAAAGGAAAATGATCAAACCAGCCAAGCATGATATCTAGTTGTGGATAACGATGAATGATAAAAGAGCTACAGTGATAGTTCTCTGGGTAGAATCCAAAAGAAGGATTTCTGTTTATACCTCTTTCCGTTTCTCAAAACAAAAATTACTAGGGGTTAAGTTTTATATTCATTTATTTATCATGTGAATGTGAATTTTCTTTTCAAACTTTATCGTGATTATGAGTCAAGATTATATTTCTCGCCTTTTTCCCTTTTTCTTTTATTGATTGGGGCCTCACTAACAAAGTTGTCTCATCTACTTCGAGGAGGATCAAAAGTACCTGGAATTAGCGCTCTTAGAGTGTGGTCCATTTATTTAAAGGATCACATATATTTTGTTCCTAAGCGAAGGCATGGTCATCATTTCACCCTAGGGGGAAAAAAGAAAAAACTTAATCCCCTGAACACATGAATTATATTTTCAGTGGATTATGACGTCCATTACCTTTTGATCCCTCTTCGGATTGGCTCTGCAAATTATAATCAAATCCATTATATCCTTGTGATGGGATATAATTGTGGTGATGAGAGTTAACATAGCCTGATGTATGTAATTTAATTATTAGTAGTTAATAAGAATTATGCGATGAAATATTCCTAACGACTTGTTCACTTTTTTCTCTAATTTTTCATTTGATCGTATTTAAAGAAAGTCTAACTTGATCCATGATAAATGTAATATTTACTAGTTTGATTATTAACGTTAACATGAACTTTAAACATTTTGTTTTGATAAACACACCCACGCGCGCGCATGGAGTTTATCTTTTTTTTTCCCCCCGGGAATCTCCCTCTATTTTCACTGAATTGACAGTTAGAATTTAAAAAGCAAGAAATATCTAATATCATATAGGATATAGAGTACTTAATAAATAATGAATTTGACATCTATGTTATTACAAATTTTCTTCTCTCACACACACACATGTATTAAAAAAATATATATTTATGGCCTTTTTCTCCTTGAAAGGATATAAATTCGTTTGAAGAACCTATACGGAGTACATGTATTCCAAAAGATGGGAATTAATATTAAGGGCCTTGTTTATTTCAAAGATTATGGACTTTAACCAGGGATATAAAATTGATTAATTGGGGGTTGGGGGGGGGGGGCGCTTGTGAATCGAGTTCAAGGAAAGGAAGACAGAGCTGTCCCTAATGTACTGGAATAAGAATACAAGAGCAGAATATCAAATATACGTATTCTCGTGTGCTGGGTTGTTCGGTCTCCCAACACTGTCATGTCACGATGTAATACATCGTGAAGTTGCTCATGCATAACTCTCAGCAAGCTAACCCCCTGTTCATATATATATATATATATATATATCAATTTTTATTGGTAATGGAGGGGCGTAATCAAAATGACAAGAATCTCGGGATTGTAACCTGCAGAATGCATTTATTAATCGTATTATTTAATTACTGTACTCTCAACAAATGTTTGATTCCTTCCAAAAGAGATGGCCCTAATTAAAAAGCAATCCTCGACACTTGAGAGAAATAATAATGATGCGCATACACGTCCTTACTATTATTAAAAGAACGAGAAGCAACTTTTAATTATTATCGTTGTAACTAATTATAGAATCACGTCTCGTAGAATTAAGTTTCATGAATAATGTATATAACATGTAGTGGCATATATATTGGAGGAATGGGGTATGGGCGAGATCATGAGAAAGAGACATGGCATGAAAGCACAAATGCCATACAAAAAAGATGATGTTACATGGAGGAACACGTTCACTGCAAACTGGCACACTCTGAGATGCAGAGAGATAAAATCAAAAGGGTCAAAATACTGATGAATAGTATATATGAATGTATATTAATAATGTATAGTCGCTGGTAGGGTTTGGTGTCTAGGACATAGAGGAGTCGGATATTGATTGTCAATAAATGCCTTGGTCATCGTATTCACTGTTTTAGCAATCATCTCTTCTTCAGTCCCAACTCACAAAGCGACATTACTAACCCCACATGGCCTTCCCCTGACACCACTATCCTCAACTCTTCTTCACACTAGATCACATATACCAGTTAATTATACTGAATTAAGACAGTGATCGCTTTTTGTACACCATGTATACAAACGAACTACGTACGTGTATGCCTATATGCTAGACAGAGAGAGAGGTGGTCAAAACTCGAAACAAGAAAACTGCTGAAAGGTCGCTTCAGTGCTACAGTGGATCCATGGCAAGGAGAAATGTGTAAGCAAAGCAGGGCGCATCAGTATATATGTTGCCAATCAGCCCAACCAACGCAACTTGGGCTCCACTGTTTTTTGCAGTTTTTGGTTACATCCTCGCCTTTTGCCCATCCCCCTCTCTCTCAAAAGCTGCAAATCAGATCCCATCTTCCTCATCTCTCTCTTCTCAATTCTCATTCATACACTAACTCATCAGCCTGCTCCTTCATCTTCTGCTGGGGACCATATATACCATCCATCATGCATCCTACCTCTATGTCTTTTGATATATCCCTCGCCCGACTCCTTTAATTTTTTTTTTATTCATTTCCTTCTCTTCAAAAGCTAATCATTTGCTTTGAACTTTGCAAGCAACGGTGAATCTCAAATGGTATATGTTCCGTCTATCAACAAACACATCTTCTCCGCTATCTAAAGCAAAAGGGGCATCGTATGCACCTCCCAACATAAAGCTGACGTTTATTTTCAAAATGAAAAGCCTACGCTATCTAATCTCCCATCATCAATACATACTCCCACCATTTCTCGTACGTGTCTCAGTTGTGCCACACACAAACAGCTTATAATATTAAGCCTCGCCTCCTTATCCATATACCCATCACTTCATCTGCATCTTTTGCCCATTTTGAGACGATTGGTGGAAACCAAATACGGATCTCATGAAGAAATAAATTAAAGCAAGTAATTATCAATGCCCCCACACAAAGTATTTGTCCATGCACGTGCATCATTATCCCTCAAAGTTTGAGGAGGTCATGCCTCTGGGTTTGAGAAATAAAAGCGCCCTTCTTCATCTTAACCTCTTTTACGAAACACACTTATATATATAAATATATATATATAGGGCTCCACGATGAACATTTCCGCATATGTTACATATAATTCAATGAACATATACATAGAGTCGACGTATGAGTACTGGTATATGGTATACATACCATACAGCGCGATATGCGGAGAGTCCTAAAACCACAATATTACTTATGAATGAAAACTGGATAGAGACAGATAAAATTTTTGGACCTGATGCATTGTGTGTGTCATATAAGCTGCTTCATCACTAGGCATTATTATGCTTCTTTCGATTTCAATTCCAATATATATAATTGCGTATTCTTCTCACGGAAGGGAAGGTCTGCACGGGAAGGCAATTTAAAGGAAGTCGGATAGTATAAATCTGATTTACCAGACCGGCGGTGCCTGCATAATCTACTATTAACTACTAATCCAACATAATAAGGAAGAAGGCCGAATAAGCAAGAAGAAATTAAATTAAAGTTGGCTTCCATTTAAACTTAATGCTTATATGATCCTAATTAATTATCAGTTCATTACAAGCTAAGATACATATCTAGTTCGCATTAATATATTATAAATTTAATTAATCCCATGTGTAGTTGTTTACTGGGTGGACTCGTTATCTTGCTCCACTTCGGACGCAGGGTCATCTTCTTCTTCAAACCCATCGATCCCATAAGCAGCGTGGCCAGCCCCGAAGGCTTTGATGTGATCCTTGAGAGACCTCTTGTGCTTGAAATCAGAGCCACAGATACAATACCAGAGCTTGCCACAGTTCTTCTCATGGGTTCTCCAATCCCCTCTGACAGCAAAAGCCTTCCCACATTTTCTGCACATGAAGGGCTTGATCCCATGCTTCCTCTTGTAATGCGTTTGAAGTGTTCTAAAATCCTTGAGTGGCTTTGCTCTTGGGTGGTCGATGTTGTTTCTGCAACCTGGAGCGCAACAATAGCACGGAAGCCTCAGCATGCCCGTTGGTTGTGTCCCTCTCAGCGATTCAGGCCCTTTCCTGTACTGTGATCCATGCCCCCACATATGCATCTACGCACGGAAACAAAACCACCAAAGTGATCAATACATTACTTATATATATTATTTTCAAGTTTAAAACTAGGAAACAAAGTTAAACCCTGCTAGCCCGCTTGCTAACTATTAATTAAATCTCAAGGAACCTACTCTCAGTTCGCCCCATTTTAATAATATGTCTTTTATGTAGTCAAATCTGTGATGATGCCAACATTTGAAATGTGGATGTTTTGCCTTTTCATTTTCGGGCAAGTGCCACTCTTTGAAGATATTTTCACCAACATGAAATGTGATGATTTGATTGAAGAACCGCTTTGAAACAAATGGGGTTTTTCTTCTTCCACGGCGCTAGTATTGTAATATCCGGAAAGCTAAGTGATGACAAATTTTTATATGCTACATATGTGGAATGGAAAGAGGAAGGAGAAGGCGAGGTCTAGCTTCATATAAGAGGGTGAGGGAGCCATATATCCCATAATTGAGATTTGAGAATCGAGATGTGTGTAAGGGACAGAAAGAGGAACAAGTTCGAAGTGAAAGTAATTAGCGCGGGTATATGTGAGGGATCTGGAAGAAACACTGCAAGATTTGCAGTAGCTGGATGGAGCTGCCAGAATGGAGACTGGAGAGGCACGGACTTCAATGCACAAAAGGCATAAGGAACATTGCCTGAGTAGTTTAATCAACGAAAAGGGAAGGTACTGATCCAAGTCACAGTTTGAATCAGGTTTAAAAAAAAGTTTTATTTTTCCAAAAAAAAAAAAATTATGTCCCCGTTTACCATGCAAAAGGTCCCCGAACAATCTGAGTCGCAATACTAATGAAATCAAATAAAACTAAATCGTGGAACCGGAAATCATAATGACCCAGTAGAAAAAATGACAAAGGTAGAGAGAAAAACCAAGAAGAAAACAAGAAAGCCGAAGGAAGAGGCGCGTATATGCAATAATATAGATATAGATTAATTAAATCAAACTTTTTCTTTCCCGTTTGGAAGGAAGCAAAAGAGAGGCGTAAGAGGGTTCAAATCAGGGAAGAAAGTAAGGAAGATTCATAATGATATAGGCTGGAAGTGGAGGAAAAGCGAGAGAAGAAAGAGAAAAGAGATAGAGAGCAGAAGAGGAAGGGACCTGCATGTTGTTGTATCTGTTGAAGGTCTTGAAGCAAACAGGGCAAGAGAACTGGGTAGGACCGATAAGAATCTGAGAAGGAGTAGGGATCCAGTACTGTCCCTTGTTGAGCTTATTGGGGAGCATGAAGCCGCCAGAGGCAGAACAATAATCGTCGTCTCCGCCGCCATCTCCTTCCCCTTCCTGTTGTTTATCATTGGAGCAGGAGGAGAGCACGGAAGCCATCTCAGCAGCACTAGGGCTGGGCAACCCTATGTGGAGTGCAACAGTGACGGTGGCCTCATCGTCGTCCTCTTCGTCTTCTAATTCTTCCTCTTTGGGTTTAGCAGCACTGCGGAGGATGATCCCGTCGTCCCTGACACGGTCCAGGTCGGGACGATGAGGATGATCGTGGTCTTGCCTGGAGGGGCTGAGGCTCAGGAGAGGGAGCGCTTCTCTGAGAGGAGGAGACGGCGGTGAAGGTGTGATGGAAGAAGAACAAGAAGCGGGTTGGTTGAAAAAGCCGGCGGGGGAGGTGGCGGAGGGGTGGTTGATGAAGTTGTGGAGAGGAGCATAGGGATGGTGGTGGTGAGAAGAAGGGTTGGAGGAAGGGAAAGGGTTGAATTGGAAGAAAGGAGGAGAAGAGAAAAGATGAGAGTAAGGGTCAGCCATGGTGATGAATAAAGTAAGTGTGGGAATAGTTTGCTTTCATGGAGAGAGAGAGAGAGAGAGAGAAAGAGCATAAGATGGCTGAAGGGAGTGGACGGTGGAGAGAGAGAGAGCAGAGAAGCGAGTAAAGGCAATGGAGTAGGATGGGATGAGCCAAACTTAGTACAAAAATGAAACAAGACGCAATAATTTAATTGTTGATCATTAGGATTTCTAATTAATTACAGGCACCTCTCTCCCCCCCCCCCCCCCCCCCGCCTTCATTTTCCTGTCTTCCCCTCTTATTTTCTATTTTAAATATATATTTGGGAATTAATATTACGAACTTGAATTCCGGGGAATACCGTTAGCAGTCGTTTATTCCTGTATTTACTTCTTGCCACCGTTACCCATATATCATTGGAAATGGATGGTTGAAAATTGAGAATCCGTGAATTCTATTAAATTTATTTTGTAGATAAAATTAAAAAAAGATATTTCATAAAAATAATAAAATGAGAAAAAATATTAAAAAAATTCATGAATCTTAACGTTAAATGATTTACTCCCTGTATTATTTTGTTCCCCATGTTTAAGTCAATTCCGTGATTTGGTTTTTGAAATAGTACTCCTTCCATTGTAAATTATAAAATACTTTTAAAAAACTTTATCCGCCTCACAATATAAAACATTTTAAATTAATTAAGATTTTATTAAATGTATTAATTTTGATATTACTTTCTCTCTCTATAATTAATTTTCATCTCTTCTCTTTTCAAAATATTAAATGATGGATATTTTTAAAAATTTATAATTTTGTTTTAAAAAGATAAGTGTGTTAAATATATTTAATAAAATTTATTGATATATGAAATTTTGTCTGAAAGTATTATAATTTGAAATGGAGAAAGCAGTTAAAATTATATTAAGAAAAAAGATTTCATCTTTTAACAGACATTGATTCCAGTGAATGGGCTTTAACTATTTAAATATAAGTTTTTGAATTTGAATTCACGTGAGTATAGGAAACATCTGTAGTTAAAAATTATCTCTAATTAGACCTAACAATATTAAAGTATAAGTCAGTCAACTGGCTGTATTAAAAGAAATCCCATCCATAGTATGAGTTTGAATTGCCTTGAGTTAATCAAGGTCTCTTTTGGTGGGTTTAAGTCAGTGGAATGGGCTCTAGCTATTTATTTTTTTGAAAAAGAATATTTCCTACAGAAAAATGTGATTCCTTTTTTTTTTCCCCCAGAGCTGGTCAAAAAGTCTTAGAATTAGAAAAGGAAGGAAAGAGAGACAAAAATTCAAAATTTTTACACACCTTTGCTTAAGGATATGTAACCGAGATCAGGTTCTTATGTGTTTTTTTAATTAAAATTTAATCATAAAAACATTTTTTTTCTTAGGGAAACGATCCGAAGTTAATCATGATTTTTAATTTTCTATTACAGAAACTCTGCTTTTTGTAAGAAGCAGAAGATAATAATTCATACTCATGCGCTAGTACTGGCATTTCAATAGAAGGATGCAGCTCCCGGCTCATAAATTAAAATAAAGTAGTTTAAATTAATTTCAAACCAAACCCCGTCGAAATTAACATGCCCTGTATATTTGCCACTTTTACGGTAAAAAGAATTCTGGCATTTGAGAATAAATGGTTCAAATTAAAGTTGTTAAATTAACAAGTTTAAATAAAATCATAATAAAGATATAAACTCAAAATATAGATTTGGATTATAAACTTGTTAGAATTTACATTTATTAATAAATGAACTATAAAAATATATAATTAAATAATTAAAAAAATATGACTATAATTTAATTTAAATATGTTTTAAATATAAATTATTGAAATTAAATTTATCTAGATTCATAAATTATTATACTCAATATAAAAAATTTAAAATATAGCTGCTTATTTTTAGTATTTTTATTTTCTCTTTTATTAATATTATTTTTTGTTTTTTTAAATTTTATTTTCATTGATCTAGGTGTTATAACATTTATAAACTTATCTTGGTCAATAAATTTATGAGTGAATTAATATAATTTTATAATTTAAAAATATAAAATGGTAAACTTGATGAATTAATATTATTTTATAAGTTAAAAATATAAAAATAATAAATTTAAAAATTAATTGAAGAATTTGACAATGATGATTCAGATGATAAATAACTCTTAGCTCAATGCATACGTACGTAAAAAGTTAAGTGTTTCACTTCTTGCTAAATTAAAAATTGCATAAAAAAATTATATTCCTAATATATGCTAACTTATTCTTGACAAATTAGGATAAATTAATGTGACAAACTAACAATAATTGAACCATGCTCATATAAAAAGAAATTCCCTCGAAGTTTCCACTGATCATCGATCAGTGATCATCACTTAATTACGTGTTCACGAGTTCATCAAACATAATTGATAAATCGTCGCTAAGGAAAAAAGTAACATATGGAGCGTATATAGCTCCACTTAGAGCAACAAAGAAACAAGAGTAAATAAAAGATCAATAACTTCACAATTTTTTATTATTATAAATTGTTTTAAACGCTTTTACATCTCGTCTGAAATATTAATTTGTACCACTATGTGAGAGGCAAAGGTAGCCCTCGATTTTAAAATCTGTACGCTATTCCATGGCCATTTTCACTCACCGACACTTCCTTATCATTCATTCTTATTAATATTAAACATTAATTGAAACAGTCAAAATTGACCCCATCAACTGGCTGTAGTGTGAAAAAAAAAAATTCATAAATACTCCGATTCAAAATATAAATAGTTTTTATAAAAAAATTTACATATTAATACATTCTTATTTTTATAAAAAATATATGAAAAATTTACACATTAATAAAGTCTTCATATTAATTGTTTTCCTCTCTACCTATAGTCTCAATTATTAATGTACTCCATTAATAAATATAAAAGGGTAAAATGATAAAAAAAAAATTACATTTTACATCTACTAAGTTACTTATATTTTAAATTAAAATTAATTGAAAAAAAATACTTATATTTTGAATCGAAGGAGTATGAAATTAAAAGATCAAAAGTTAGTGATTAATTTTGTCAGAAAAAAAGTTAATGATTAATCTGGTTGTTTGGAAAACAACATTACAAGTCTTTTTTTTTTTTTTTTTCCAGAGTCTTTTCAAACTCACCTTTCCTTAATTAATCATACGATCAGCCATTCAGCTGTTCTTTGCTATTAATGGGACAAACATTGAAGGGACTCAATTTAATTAAAAGTCATAAAAAGACATATACTTGGGAGATAGCTGTGAATCTCACATCCATCGATTTCTCATTACTAATTATTATTTATCTTAATTAATTCATCCCCCCAGCTGTGCTCACATCTTTGGGCCACTCATAAATTCTGGGGGATTCACAAACATTCTCACACTAAATTATTTCACGATTCAGCATTTTATGTTGTTATAAAACCAAGAAAAAGGTCATATGTGTGTGAGTGTGTGTGTGAGTGTGTATGTATATTTATTATAATATCAACACATTTCCAACGAGCTAATGCAATTGTATTCAATTTACTCAAAGTTGAGATTTTTTATTGAATGTTCCTATTTGCGAGGTGCATTGTATTGATCTCTTGTTACTATAATAAAAGAAATAATCTGTGTGTAGCTATTTTATATTTTAATAAGCTTGGAGGTAATTGTATGATAACCGATACTCCCTCCTATTCAAATTATAAGCAATTTTTAACTATAATTCATGTATCAATGAAATTTAATTATATTTATAGTTTTTTCTTTTTTACCCTTAACATGAACTGCCAATGATAAATTAAAAGAGTATTTATGTCAATAATTTTTTTATGAGAAATTGAATGTCACGTGGAAAAGTCGAAATGATATAAAACTGGCTAATATATTGAGAAGGAGGTGATAAATTCTCATGCTACCCAGAAAAACAGGTTAACAAAATGTAAGGGTAAAATGAGAAAAATAATTTCTAAAAATACTAAACTTCTTATATTTTGCACTGGAGGGAGCAAGTGACTTAATTTTTTTCTGAAAACATTTTTGGCTTGGATCTCAAAACCTGCGATGATTGCATGGAAAGCACATACTAATTAGAGCGTGATTAACAAGAATATATATATATATATATATATATGTACACATATCATAGAAGAAAAGGTATATAATTTTTGCTTTATTTTGACAACTAATTAAGCAACAAGAAGTGGAATAATGAAAATAGGAGGAAATAGAAGCTAGAGAGACGATAAAGATGAAAGAATAGAGAGACAAGAAATAAACTAATTCCAATGCACCCAACATTTCCGTTGGTGTGCGCAAACCTGTCGGCTATGCCAAACGTGCATGCCTTGTTAATTACTTACCTTGTCTCAGTATTCAATCTCTCTCCCATAATTTATACTACTACGTGTCTTGTCTTTTGAACTTCATCGGGGTGGTCGAATAAGTGAAGTAACGAAGGCCTCATTGAATCAAATACACCATATATCAGACCAGAGAAAAAAAAGAAAGACGACCATTGTGTTGTGATGTGTTGAGATTAATATACAGCTATGCATAGAGAAATGGGATATTGCAATTAATTAGGGTTAAACGCCCACACATGCGTGTGTGTGGTGTTCATACTAACTGAGCTGACCATCACTTAAATTATCAAATTCCTTTCAATTATTACAGACATTGTGACAGCACACAAGAAAGCCACCAGTACATAAGCTGTCAAGTTCTGATGTGGGCAACGCCACTACTAATATCTGATACATGTTGCACTCACTTAACCTGGTTTGTTTTGATTAGAAGAAATGAATGGGATTTTGAAATGGAAGGTCCAAATAAATTAGAGAAAGGCTGGTTCCAACTGGACACACGACCAAGGGCGTGCCTGGCGGGAGGCTGTGTGGAAGAGATGGATTTAGGGTCTGAGAAAGGCGTCTTCCTGTTTCCCTCATTCCTATGATTACCAACATGTGTGCCCAAATCACAATGCATCTTGCATTACTTAACTCCAACATTTAGTTTTCACCTCTCATAATTATAACATCTTGTTTCCATTTCAAAAAGGAAAAGAATTAGCTAGAGCATGTGTGTGTGTGCTCGCATGTGTGTACTAGTGAGCGATGACTGCTGACAAGATGGAACATGTAGTAAATTTAATTTGGGGGTGATTGGAATTAAAGGTTATTGGTGATTGTATGGCATAAATCTAGGCTTTTCCGTATCCATTCTATTCCCTCTTGCAGGACCACTTAAATGTCTCTCTCTCTCTCTAATCAAGATTTTCCCATCTTTCAAAGCAAAAGTAAAAGGCTTTTCAACTTGGAATATATGTTTCTCTTTTATTTTTCCCCCCACGAAAGAAAAAGTCGATCGTTTACACTTAACCCAACCCCAACCCCAACCGCAACCCCAGTTTAATATTTTCTTGCGATTACTACACATCACACCAACATACATATCAACCTCCATATATATATATATATATATATATATATGCGTCGCATATTTAATTCCCCACCATGTCTTCTCTTTTTCACCGAATCACAGTGCCCCTCAATATAATCATCCTACATATGCTTTACCCTTCAAAACACTTATAACCCCCCATCATTAATTATTTATATATGCCTTACTACTTTTTTTTTCTCGAATTATACCAGAATCAAAGAGACCATTGCTACGATCATAATTCACGATGACTCTACGTCTTGAGACGGATCTATAATGTCACTCCACTGATGTACGTGCATATTGTGTTAAGTAGTGCAAGCATTGGTTTTCTTATTCACACATGATCATAAAAGGCCTTCTAGTATCACATAATTAATTAGTCTTTTTATTCCAAAAGCTAGAAGCAATCTATATATCATGAATTTTTTGGATGTTGTCATGCATATTGCTTCAGGGAATAACCTAACCTTTTAAAAAAATTGGGTTCAACAAAGATTTCGACCTTCTCTGATACTTATCATTTCTATTGTGGTGCTATGATGATAGTCCAACATTGTCATGAAACCACCTCTAATTCAATAGTTATTTTCGTCTATTTACACCATGTTTCCCATTTCCTCGGTTTTCAATATATAGTAGTATATATTATTGAGTGAGTGAATTTGTGCCACTATTGAATCCAAATCCTGCATGTGATATTATTTTAATTAGTTCATAACAAATCAAACATTAATTATACAATTGATCCAACACTCATTAACATATTATTGTCTCACTCTTGATTCATACAGCTTCATTTTTCTGATTATCAGGTACTCAACGACTGCCATCACCTTACAAATTCTTCTGATCATTCTTAATATTTTTCCCCATAAATTATTTAAAATAATAATGCGCCGACTTCACTTTCTTCATCCGAAGATCGATAACCTAGCTGGCTTCCCGAACCTAATAACCTGAAAGCCCCTGAGAGATATACTTTTATAATACAAAAAAAAAAAAATCTTTGAAATCTGGTGAATTCTTGACCAAATAAACCGTGGAAGCACAAATTCATACATGGAGAACATGAAGTGCTGGAAGCACTATACAAACACACACTGTTATGTTCCATGATATATATCTATATAGGGGGTAGCAACATGTTCATAATGTATCTAAACAAATATTAAAATATAAAATTTTGCTCTTCGGACAGGGAACACGATCAAGCAGTTTTGGGAAAAAAGGCATTTGTTCATCCTTTGCGTTTCCAAGACAGCACGAGCGAGCTTACATGTTAAAACGAGAATTATTTAATGGTCTATTTTAAACATTATTGTTCTCTCATGTCTTCTGAAAAATTCCACATATCTCTGTCCTGCGATTGTTAATCCCCATGATCACTGTAAAATGCCACCGTCCATGCGTACACGAGAATTCAAAGCTTTTGTTGTAATTAAATTTACTATTGTGGCCGGGCCCCCTGGAACTGATGCCGCTAATTAACACCCTTTCGTTTGGTAAAATATATCAAGCCCGTGATAGAAAATTGGATCGGAGAAGGAAACAACTTTTTTTTTTTTAACACGGTTAAATAAAAAAATTTCTGAATCCCATAATACGTTCAAGTCTGGAAACTTAATTAAAATAATATGTTGACAACTTTTTAGGAGAAATGATGGGATTTAATTGACATCAGAATTCACATAAATGACTGCTATTATAACCCAACCCAACCTTTTAGGAATAATGATGACTACTTTGTTTGATATTTATAAAGGATTGAAGTTTTGTGTGTAAGAGAATAAGCAATGAAATAAAGAAAGAAAGAAAGGTTGACGAAGGATAAAAGAGAGAGCTAGCGGAGGAAGGGAACAAAAAATAATATGCTGTCCAGAGTGTGGAAGGTCCAAATTAATTTGGTGATTGAGACGCACTGTTTAAAGAAAGTTATGACATCACCAATGCCTTCCCACCCACATAACACAGCCTCTCTTTCTAGGGTTAAATGGGTTCACTCAGAGAGAGAGAGAGAGAGAGAGAGAGAGAGAGATGCAATCCTACAGCTAGAGGCTCATGCAAGTGTGCAACACAACACAACACAACATAAAGAAGAGGAATAGTACAGAGGCCTGGATTCTGAGGTTATTATGATGAGAGATGACTTGTGAGTGGTGACCATCTCCATCTAACTGCTTGGCTGTCCACTCTCATTAAAAGCCTTACATGAGTACGGCTATTTGACCTATTGGTCTTCCCCATTATATTACTTCTTGATTCTTTGTCAAGATCATTATTATATTTTTTGGGTCAAGAAAATGGAAATTGCTTGAACCGTAAATTTCGAGCAGATGTTTTTTATGCAAGGTGATGAAACGAGTTCTAAGAAGGCTATCATGTGAGGTGGACTGTGGACAGAGGGTTAGCTAAACAATCACCATCACGAGAAGGACTGAGAATGATGAAGCAAAAGGGCCCTATCTGTTGATCAGCCAATAAGTACAGGGAGAGGGAGGGGGAGAGAGAGACTGCTGTTTCTGCTCCTCCCCAACTCAGGCTCCTTCTTGAGAAAAAGAAAGAGACAACAGTTTCAGTTCAGTCATTACTGTTCCAAGAAATCCAAAGAATAATGTCATTTTCTCCGCTGCCTTAGACAGATCATATCATAACTACAAACCCATTCATACATCATAATGAAACATGTTCTAGTTTTTCTTCCCACCCTTGGTTCGAGTACCTGGCAGCTACTGTCGTATAAAGCCGTCCAAGAAGATAAATAAAACAGTAGGGTTTTCTTTTTGGGCAAAGTAAAGCTGCCAGATATTTCACCGCGTAAAAGAAAAGATGGTAGGCATTGATCCCAAAAAAAAAAAAAGCTGCCAGCCCATTACCATATTCCTAGGCCTAACATTCACCAACCTTTTTGGTGGGCTACTGTAATCTCTGATCGTAGAATCACTTTGAGGGTTAGTTCTTGACTTCATTTTTGAGACGTGCAAAATTTTAATACAAATAATCACAGGGGCGCGAGGATTTATTCACGGCCGTCTGTATACAGTAACTGTAAAGGGTAAAGCGCAACTTTCCGACATGGTTCTCTTAGGTTTTCATCTGATGTGTTTTTTTCCCCCTTTATTTTTCTATCATTTTTTGGGACATAATATTTTCCTTTAGATAGTATTTCACCTTGCACTGCAGTACGCAAACGATTAAATAATGCATGTAATAAAGCAATATTGCCTCGTGTTATCAAAACAATGATAATATCATAATGTACTATTCTCTTTTCCTTTGGTACAAGGGGGAAAATAACAGGATAGATGATCACCACTGGTTCTATGCGAATCAACTGTAAGGGCAGCGACAAAACATCTATCAATCAATACATTTTTTGGCCTGAACCTTCTATCAATACATTAACTGCCTTTCTCAACCGAAAAAATGTTTTCAAAAAAAAAAAAAACTTGCAAACCATAGATTACAGCAAGGTCAAAATTTTGTAGGAACACCAGCAATGATACTTTAGTGAAGACCGCACCAAGTTAGAGCTTATGCATCAAGTCAAAACTCCCAGTACCCATCTTTACTGGCAACCCAAGACAGACTCTCGAAGATGGCGTCTCCAAGCAGTCAACCTCCCCATGATAGGCTGCTTCAACTATGAATCTGGCTGCTGTCTCGAAAGACATCTTGCTTAAAGGAGATACGGACTCAGATATGCTCCCAATTCTGCTCATAGGACGATAGCCACCCGCATGCGTCATATAATCGGCAATAAGGGTTAAGTGCCGAATATTTACAGATATACCATAAGATTTGAAAACATTTGTTATTTCCCTGATGATGGTCTCTCTGGCAGCTTCCACCCCATACGTCTCTAGCATCGCATGGACGTTGTTTGAATATATGAACCTAACATCAAGTTGGTCTTGCAATTCCCAGAATGTTACGAAATCTACACCGGTCGTCTGAAGTGCTGGTATTTTTTCCTTTACTGAGGATGGAATATCTTCCCTTTTCCTGTGATCTTTACCATAGTAGATTACTTGATTCTCCTTGCACGTAATAGCTCTACATTGGTCAACCTTACCAAAGTTTTGGATGCAAACCTTCTTCGCTGTTTTGCTAGCAATCTGCATATAATTAGATAAAGTGAATTCAATGAAGTTACATCCGACGTTCGAGAAAAAATGACACTACGTTGACCTGAAGAGCTCAGAGTTTATACATAAAATGGCCAAACAGAAAATGAAACTCTCTCATTGGCCAATGTATTTGTTTCCAAGTTGCATTTCACTTTAATTGTTTATACTACTGTTATTTAGTCAGAGGAAAGGATAGCACACTCTTTTAGAGCATCCCCATCTTAACAAGACCAGTAACAATAAGTGAACAGTCAACTACCGGCCCTATTTAGTCGCAAATTGGCATGTGCACGCCACTCAGAGAACCAAAATTGAAGACATTACACGCGCGTGCGCGCACAATTTTGCACTTCAGAAACACAGAATTAAAACACCAAAAAAGAACAATGGGCGTAATCCTTATGATGAAGGATATCAAAAAATAAAAAAGGTTCGAGGCATGACAACAATTCATTCTGTTCGAGGAGGTTCTAATTATTAACCCATATTTTTTCTTCCTAATTTTTCATGCATTTAATAAATTTTCAATTTCAATTTTGACGTTTTAGGAAGTTTGGCCGATAGAAAACAACTTGTTTCAAACCGAAATCTGATGATTATAATAACTTCCTAGATATTGTACCATACGGCAATCAGAATAGAATAAACCATCATATTGACAGTAATATGACCACGAGTTGTATCAGAGAAAGAAAAGTCAGCCATGAAATTAATACAAATATCAACAGAAAATGAGGTGCATTCAACATTACCTGAGCCAACAAAATATGAGGTTCCTTGGTAAATCTAAAATGGACCTCGAAATGCATCCCTTTTGCTTTGACAAAGACTGCCCTGTCGGTTTCTTTTTTTAGTATATTTTTAGATTTCATTTTAGGCTTTTCATCAATAGACTTGCCGTTCTTGGATTCAAGTACTCGAGTGACATCATTCTCATTGACTTCAATATCACTTTCATCATGAATATCATCCTCTCCAATTGTTTCCTCCAACTGCTCTCCTTCATGTGTTTCTTCACCAGCACCATCTTCATAATCAATTTCATCCCTACCTTGTCGTTTTCTTTTCTGTGCATCAGTACCAAGATCCTCACCCTCTTCAGCATCCTCCCCACCATCGTCGTCGTCATCGTCACCACCACCATCACCATCATTGTGATCTTTTTTGTCTTTAGAACCATTGGTAGAATCATCTTCCTCCAAACTTTTTGAAGAATCTGACGTGAAGTTTTTTATGCCACTTATCTTAGAGAGCAGTAGCAAGTGATTTTCAATAGCATCCTCCAACTCTCTAACAAAGACAACTTCTAGAGTTTCCTCCCAGTCCTCAAGCAATATATCAGCGTACTTTGGGTAGTGTTTAGGCTTGTAAAGCTTCATCTCCAACTTATATATACTGCAAATATCACCACCATCAACAGCTAATGGTACAACAGACACTTTCATACTCTCTATTATGTCTGCTACTGTTATTTTCTTTAGGTTATCAGCAAGGCGAATGGCATGGTCCCTATGAACATCAAATGGGTCAAATATCAACGAAAAGAAATATGTTCAAAATGGAAAGAAATGAATGAGTTTTAGAAGCAGAGTAAACAGAACAATGTCAATAACTCACATGGATTTACCCTGTCTCAAGGGGCATGTCATGACTGGGGTCTTGATATCACGTGAGGCAGTCATCAAGATCTCTTGCAGTCTCGGAATTCCAAGAGTCACATTCATTTCACCTCGACCAGCAAGGTGGAATGTATTTAAACTGGAAAAGGGAATAAAAGAAAAGGAATGCCATGTTATGAAAGCACAGTTAATCAGCCAAGGAAGGTTTGATCACACCCTTACAATGTAATCAACAATATAAATAACAAAACATCATGCTATATCCACAGGCGCCTTTATAATTTGCATGATCCAATATGAGAAATTATGGGCAGAGAATGAGGTGAAATACAAATTATACATGTTTGAATCTTTGCAACATTATTAGAACTGGATTAATCATTGAACTGGTTGAAGTACTATTTCACCATTCACAGGTCAGACCATCGTCTAATTGTGGCTGAATTAGTTGTAACTAATATAATATATTTTAATAATTAATAATATATTAAAATATTATAAAAAAGTTCATTGAGAATATACTGCACATGATGCTCAAAGGTGGCACATTGACACGGCCAGAGTCTGGAGCATTACTTGTCGTCTCCATTTATCATCGTCCTCACAGATGGAGTATTTATAGATTATGGATTATTATTATGTTATTCTAAAATCACGTGCTATTTTAAGCTTTCTTTTATATTGTTGAAGGTCAACTCCATTCAGTTAAGATGAAAAAATATTGAAGCTCAAAAATGGTAGAGATTGGTTTGATCATGGTGGGAAGTGGAAGAGGGTGGACGCTGACAACGGAGAGATGGGCTTGATCACAATGAGATTTGTTCACAGGAAGCCAATGCATGTGCGAATTTATTGGCGAGATTCTATCATAATCTGGTAGGTAGTTCTGTACTTTAGATCAGTTTCCATCACGGTGCCTTCAAGAAGTTGAACATGCCAGAGCTGGTGTACTTTTTACCAGCGTTTATACAGCCATAATCAGGATCCTTTGACTGTTCTATATTTACATGTTTATATTATCATCAACCCCTACCTGGTTCTCATAATTGATGATTATTTTTTCTATATTCATCAACTCTTCCCTTCAAACAGGGAGAATTCCTTCTTGCATACTCTATCAGGAAACCAAAAGCCCTTCTAAACCCAAACCACGGCCATAAAGTCCCTCCAAACTTTTATTTCCAAATCTCAACAGGCATGCATGATAGATTCTGCTTCACCAACAAATAAGCTATTTCTAGTCCAAGCAAAGGCCGTTGTATCAGCTCAAAGTATCATTCTTATCTGACTGCAGCAGCTATATATGATTTCCACTGATAGCAACTAGTATTAACAACAGCAAAATAACTACTAATGCAATGACGAGTAAAAGTAATTTTCGGATGTATTTCATCTTCATGGCACCATAAGTACCTGAAACATGAGAAGAAAATGGAGATACAAAGAACTTACGTCATCTGTGTTGACGGTTCTCCCACAGATTGAGAAGCCAACACACCAACTGGTTCTCCTGGCTGTGCAAGACTTGAGACATACTTGTGCTCCATCAACTTCAAGAACTCTGCTCGATTAATTGAACCAAAAATTCTATTCTTAGAAGAGATGCCACAAATGAAGTTTTCTGCTTTTTCTTTAAGAGCATTGGGCAACTTGTTAATATAAGGACTGGATCTGTCTATCTCACGGTGACATTTGCTGTAAATCGTTTCCTTATTCTGAAATTAATAAGCAGAGTAAATAACAAGACCCAGACTCTAGTTGTAATTTATGATTCCAAAATCAATAAAACAAAGTTCTTACAGTTAACCATGATTCAAATTTGGTGAGAAAGCTAGTTTGATGGACATCCACCCCATCTTCTCCATAATGAAACTGAATAATCGACCCATCAGCATCGCGGACAGAATGATCATAACAGACTTTTAGGCATTCGAGGTTTTTTATCAGGCATCTTTGCAGGTATCCACTCCTTGATGTTTTGACTGCTGTGTCAACTAATCTGCAAGGCAAAGACGGCAATAGGTGGGAAGAACTATTCATATGACAGGCAACAATACATTATGCCTTCCACGTAGAAGTACAGAACGAACAGTCACACATGAAATTCAGAGACAGACTCTTATTTGTTTCTCTTCTATTTAATTTTGTTTTGCTAAAGCATTTCTTCCTACTATGTATTCAGAGCTTTATTTGATTAAAAAAAGTACAAAAATTATTATTCTGTTATAATGTTTGACATCAGCAAGATATACATGTACAAGTAAATACTTAATTTTCTAACAACTATAACTATGATTAACATCACAGCCTTATCTATGACAAGAATGAGGAAGTTTGCTTACCCTTCACGACCAGCCATGCAATGGAAGTAATATTCTTGTGGACGTAGACCTGTAAGAAACCGATCAATAATAAACCCTCCTGCTCTAGAGGAGCAATCCCACGGAGGAAAACATGGTAAGGTCTTTCCAGAAACCATGCGAGGGACTCGTCTTCCTTCCAACTCTTGTTGACCTAAATGAGAAGATATTTGCTGGAAATTAACCTGTAAAAAACAGGGCAATTGAATTAAAATTGCTAAAAAAAATGAACAGAACACACTCATTATTTGAACCAATGGGAAAGACACAAGGGCCTAACACAAGGTCAAGTTTATGAAAACCAGACATGAAAATACAGTTGAATGTAAAAACTAGAAACCAGATTTTAATCAGTTCTTAGGACAAAAAGCTGTCGAACACTGTAGAGAAATAGCCCAACCTTGCATGCTGGTTAACAACCCACATAACTTCTATAGAAATCATTAAGCACCTTCTACAGTAAGTATCAGATAATAAAGGCTTTAGTATAGTTTTTGAGTTAAACTTCCCCAGAGCACCAAAGCCATTTGTTTAAAAGAACTATATTGCAAAGTTAGCCCTGCTTAAAGATATACTCTGGCCTGAAATCTTCATGGCGGCAAAGCTTTTCTACCATTGAGCATCATTCCAAAAGGAACGCTTTACAAACCAGTGAGACTTGCCCATTATCCATATATAATATAAAATCTATAACAAGCTGTACTTTTCATGAGCCATAAATAGTGTGGCTCATATTTCAAACTTAGTGCAACACAGGAATCCACACTAGTTAGCATTAAGTTTACCTATGCCATGCACGCATTGCCCTTTGGCCTCATAAAACTATGCTTATCCTCCAGATTCTAGCTCCAGCATAAAATTAATTTATGACTAACAATAACCAATCTTGTACAAATTCTCTATCTAACTAACAGAGAGCACGCATTTAACTAAATTTATTATTTTGATAAAAAAAATTACAGTTTGGTCCCTATCAGTCCACTCAATTTTCAATTTGATCATTTTAGTTTAAATAATTTTAGTTTAGCCCTTTTTGTTACTCCCTCCAATTCACAATATAAATCATTTTCTAAAAGCTTTGTTTGGTCCAAAACATAGGGCATTGGGTGGGTGCTATATGTATATTTTTCCAATTGCACCCTTACTTTATAGAGCAATTAATGAGAGTGTTTTGAATAAGTCAAATATTATATTTATTGAACTCAAGGGTACGATTGGAAAGATATGAAAATTTTTAGAAAATCAAGATTTCAACCAACTTGTTTTGAGAAATATAAATTAGTCAACAATGACTTGTATTGTGGTCTGGAGGGAGTATATATATATATTACAATTGTTGCCATATATTGAGTCATTTTATTTCATTATCCATACTTTTACCACTTTTGTTATTGTAAGTCATAAATGTTCAAAGTATTAAAATAATAAATGATTAATTATATCAACATGATTTAACAAATTCTCAATTTTAATAGGGTCAATATTAAATTTGTAAAATGTAAGGAGAGAGTTACAAATTGTTACAACAAGCCTTATCCCACTAAGTGGGGTCAGCTACTCAAATTGCATAACTTCATTGTGCTCTTTCATCAACCAAGCCTTTGAAATATTGCTAACCAAGAGGTCTCGTTCAATAATTTCTACAAGTGTTCTCTTTGGTCTTTCTCTACCCCTTTTTACAGGGCTCAACACTATCTGTTTCACTATTCTTATAGATTCCTCCCATAGACTTCTCTGTACATGTCTAAACCATCTTAAATGATTTTCTACTATCCTCCCCTCAATAAATGCCATACCTACTTTTTCTCTTACATGCTTATTCTTCTTCTCAAATTGTTACACTAAGTAAAAATTTAATGAAATCATGAGGACCAAAAAATGATTTTTTTTCCTTTTTGATAATTGCTAATTAAGTTTTAATTCAGAGCCCCAACTACTTTGTCTTCAAAAGGATCTCTCCTCTCTCATCCCAACAAGCATGATATAATAAGTTTCATTATGGTCTACATGCACTATGCATGATACTCTCTGGTAATACATGGGGCCATCAAATTGACATGAGAAGTTAGAACAGTGAACTTACCATGCTACCTTTAGCTCCAGATGTAGTCATAAGAGAAATACAATTCTTTCCGGAAGGTTTCAATATTCCTTCAGAAAGAAGCACCTTCAACACCCCAGAGCTTGTTTTGGAGTTAAGACTGCTTATCATCTTCCTATCCAAGTATGTTAAGGCTGCTTCTCCAATTTCACGTATTTTTTTCTCAATATTTAATTGAAGTGTGAAAGAGTCTGAAGAGCCAGATATGTACAAAAGTCACAACTTTACAAGACAAGAAAAAATTGACAGTAACCCAGGAAAAGATAACCATGAACTTGCATTTGGCAGCAAGCTTAATAAGTTAATGCAATGCTAAATAAGTATCCAAAATTTATTGGTTAAGCGAAACCTTGTTACCAGATTATTTTTAAAATGACATGATTCATAATGCAAATATTTTCAAGTGAAGGTACCCATTTCAGCACCATCCATGGCTTCAATGAATTCACGATGAACAGTTTCACCAATTTCCTCACAGCTTTCAAGTTGCTTCTTCCTTTCACCATCCTTTTCTTCAGTTACTAGAAGATCATCTACTCCACAAGTGAACCCATGCATCTAAATGATAGTAAAAAACCATGATCATGCTTGCTGGCTAAGCCCTTTTTTTTTTGGCAGGGGGGGAACTAAAACTTCAAATTAATTGGTAGCTAACCTGTAAAAAGGCTGTGAATAAACGACTTAATGACGAAAGCAGATTGCCAGCAATATCTGGGCCATAAAGTTCTTGCACTGTATGTACCATGCCGAAGTCACCAAATTGAGCCTTGTCAACTACACCACGGACTAAATCATTTTTATATATCAACAATTTATCCTCATCAGGCTCTTCATTCTTTCTTGATATACCTCCTCCTGTGCCTTTTTTCCTCTCCCCAGTTTGAGTCTTGAAAAAATCACGTGGGATTTTTGCACTTTTCTCAACTGTAAATGGGGTGTGACCTCTGGCAATATAATATATCAATGCACTGATAACCTAAGGCGACAACAGAAACTGATATTTAGATCAGATAGGCACATCATACCCAGGCAGGTAAATAGGACAACAAAGTCAAACCCCCAAACGATTCTACAGCTTAATACAGTACCCACAAGAGAGCAACTACTTGCCAGAATCTTTGAGTAGGATATATAACTTAAACTGGGATGCATTTTAACTAAGAGACTAACTGATACTAACCTGTTTTCCAGTCCATAGGGGCTCTGGCTTCCATATTGCTGGAGGAAGTAGTGAAATTTGAGTCATAGAATTTGACACATAAATTTTCTGACCAGGCTTCCCATTGAAAGAGCCTAGCCAAGCAGTGGATACACCAGAAATGTATAGAAGTTGATTGAACTCTTCATAACTTAAAAAAGTATCCTTCTTTGTAAGAAGTGCAGCACTGACAATATGATCCTGGCAAAATTATTCAAAATAAGGGGCTCTCAAAATCAGAAAAGAACTTCTCACTTCCGACACAATAAAGATTGCAGTTGTTATCACTGTTATTATTTGTATTGAGAGTATTAATATTATGTAGATACCTGAATCAAGGCTCTTATTGGATCACCACTGGTAGGTTTGACATATTGATTATTGGCATTTACAATGTTATAGGCTTCAGCACGGGAAATTTCATCTTGTGGAAAATGAACATTAATCTCATCACCATCAAAATCAGCATTGTAAGTACTGAAATTAAGAGGGTAAGAAAGACAGAATCAGGTCCAAGTTAGCAGCCATATTAATATTTAACACATGATATAAGTATATACCAACTGATCTTTATAAATTTATCATAATGACTTCACAGGGATTGTATGATTCAAAGCCAAACTTATTAATTCAATACAAAGTCACACCAAAGCTTAAATTATACAATTTCATATTACCTGCAGTTTGCATAATGCATTCGCACTGTTTTCTCCCCCTTTAAGACTCGAACTACATGTGCCATTATACTGGGTTTATGAAGTGTAGGCTGCAATAGAATATAATGTGAAACTCAAAAGTACAAATTTCACATATTCAAAACAAACAGATATTCATCCAACAAAATATATGTGGGTGTTGATGTGAGACTTTTAAAAACCAGATTAATTTCCACAAGTTGCCATTTTGCACAGAAGCATTTGAACAGCATTCACATGCATAAACACATAATACTTTGTTAAGGGAATAAAAGTCAACTACCATGTTATTCAAATATATCGAATTAGATAATGCAGTACCTGTCGGTTGACAAGCACAATGTCTCCATCCTTCAAATGACGATACACAACTTTGCCTTCAAATTCATGATCTTGTATCTTGCCATGTTGCATGATAACCCCTCTTGAAGATGACAGCTTCCTTGAGGTCATGGATAGAACTTTCCCATTTTGGGTGAGCTTGACAGTGGATGTTTTATCAGCATAGTGTGTGGCACCTGGGTGGGATTCTGGGCCATTACGTATAGCCTCTCTTAACTTGACTACATTCCAGGGTGTAACCCTCTGCAAGGTATTAGCATAAAATTTAGAGTGGAAGGGGTGGGGGCCATAAATAAAATAAGAGGCATGCATGACAAAAGTTGAGACAAAATTATGGAAACCAGTCCAATAAGAAACAAGAATATGTGTCTCTATTTCATAACTTACTTTAAAAAGTAGGTAAGTTTCTGCAACTTTTATCTATTTTCAAAATCTACAAATTTCCCTTTATATTGTAAAAGTCACGAAACTATAACCATATTAATACTGCTCCCTAACAAAACAGCATTATAAAGCCATCATCTCTCAGTCAAATGCAAAATAAAATTGGTCAAATATAGAAAGGACCTATATTTTAGTGGGTAAATTGTCTGACAAATCCCTTAAGTCAAACATCTTTTCAAATTAAATCATGTTTTCAGAGAAAAAATTAATATTAAAAGAACATCTTTTCAGAGAAAAAATTAATATACAAAGAATAAGGATAATAAATCCTCTCAGAATAAAGATGGAAAGGGTTAAATAGAGCAAAGCCAACTAAAATGGTTTCTGAGACCCTTCAAAATCACATCATGAAGCACCAAAAATTAAACAGAAATATCCCATTTCTACCAAAATCATCCAAAACGAGTCTCAGTGATTTTGAACCTTTGGATTCAATTGCATAGTGTTGTTGGTAGAATTATCCAGGTTGCTGAAGGAAACGAAGTACATTGCACAACTACAGAATATATCCTTATATCAGTTCTATATGTAGATATGCTGTAAATATGCAGATTGCTAAGCTCATTAGATGTCAGAAGTCGATAGAAATGGAGAAAAAAATTTATGTGTGTCCATCAAATAATCAGTAGTTTCAACTCTCACCTCAGGATAAGTTAATCTTAAGGCAAAATATGGAGGAATTCCAATTTCATTGACAGCTAAATAAGGATCTGGTGATATGACAGAGCGGCATGCAAAATTAACCCTCTTTCCCATCATTTTCTGGCGGAAGATGCCTTCCTTCTTCTCTAACAACTGACAAATTCCAGAAGCAACATCTTTTTGACCTAGACCAGCCAAGGAAATTTTAATGTAAGCATAAGCAAGCTATCAGAATTCTAAAACAGCCACATATTAATGTACAAGATGTATACACATAAATCCAAAGAACAGAAAACTTTGTTCATTAATAGTAACAGCAAACAAACAATTATCATTTCAAACAACAATAGCTACCATAGGTCTAAAAAAGATGCTGAGTCAAAAAGTTCAAAAGTGAACTTGAGAGGAGAAATTGGCCTCCATTGAAAGCATCTAAAATTGGAGGCCAACATGAGGTCACCGTATACTCAAAACACTTGTCTTTTTTCCTACAAGAAATTGGACTTCGTTGTCCCCATATCTCTCAATCTGCTTGGCTCTTTTTCCCTGTGATAGGGTTAAGCAAACAAGAAGCTATTGCCCTACCCAATGGAAGTGGGTTCCTTGTCTCCGTTGGACCCCTTTGCCCCTCCCTTGTCCTTCTCGTACTCCCTACCATGCTATTGCCAACTGCTCACCGAACCCCCACACCAGCCACAGTTCTCCACCTGCAATAGCAGCAGCAATTCCCCACCGGTGAAGGTGGCAGCGATTCCCCACCCAGTGATGCACAAGATGCAATAAGACAGGCAAGCATTAGACCTTGGGTACTTTTGCTCATTTGCTTTTAGAAGACCTGGCTAGCTTTGACCGCTGCCTTCCCTTCCTTCTCATCAGGCAAAAGTTCACCCTTTCTCCATAAACAGTGCCATCTTGCTCACCATTGGAGCTGGTGTTATTCAGTTGGTGATGAGCTCCGATGCCACTCTGTTTTGTACAGTTGGGATCCTATGAGTACTGAGTTCTTCATCTGGTTATTTGAAACTATCAGGGGGATTGTTCAAGGTTCACTGCTTTAGATCTCTTCATCAAAAATTAAGCTACATATTATTTGCAGGCTCAAGTGTTTATTTTGTAGGAGATTGGTGGTGGTCACAATAAAGGTGACGGTGGTGGTTCACTACTCTAAATCTCTTCATCACAAATTAAGCAATTTCTAATGACAGTAGTGGTCACAATAAAGGTGGTAGATGGTGGTTCTGAGATCTGGCGGACAATGGTAGTGTTGGTGCTTCAATTTTTTTTTTTTTAATGTCATGGATATTTTAGTCTTTCTAAAATAAAAATACAATATTAAATAAAACTTTTATCTCACTTCTATCTACATATTAAAAATACTTTTAAACCCCAGTTCCACTTCCGTTTCCAATTTCACTAAAAACACTTCCCCATACCAAAAAAGGCATAAAGAATTAAGGGTAAATAAGAAAATGTTAACTTTGAAAAAAGTGTACTGCAGAATATGCTAGGTCCACGAATATGTTTACTTTTTGAACAGGAATTAGCTTTAGGGTAGTTTTACATAAGCTGCATAAAACAGCAAATAAGGTAATGTTTTTCAAATAAAAGGAGCATCCAGTGCTAAAGCTTCAAACCCCAAGGGACGTCGGGATACTTCACCACATTGTTTTCATATCTGTTTGTATTTTATGCCTTGAAGCCATGAATTAATATGAATAGAACCCTTTAGCAGAGGCCTACAGACTCTTGCCTTTTAACTTTCCCTTTCAACTATATGCAATTTATGAACCTTGCTAAATCAACTAGGGCCATTTTCTGCTGATTGGCAATACTCGTTGCACTACTCAGACAGCTATTCTCCCCTTATCAGGTATAAGAGTATCGATTGGTTTCTCCATTCATTCATGTAGAGTAGACAACTGACTTCATGCCGCATAATGCCCTTCTTACAAATAATTGTGCGACATGCTGTAAAGATCCCTTTAGCTCATGTGCTATCCAATAGGGTCCTTATTAATCTCATTCATTTTTTGGAAAATGACTGAAAATTTTCTCTTTTGCTTGTGTAATTTCAGTTTTGGAAAATGTCAAATCACCCTGCATGATTTTCCTTTATTATCTTAAGATTTCATTATTTTACTCCTCAACAAGAGTATCATCATATCCAACTAAGCAATTATTATCACCAAACAACAACAACAACAAGCCTTTATCCCACTAGATGGGGTCGGCTACATAGATTGCAAGACACCATTGTGCTCTATCATTTATCAAGCTTTTAGAAATATTATTAATTAAGAGATCGCGTTCAACAACTTCCAAGAGTGTTCTCTTAGGCCTTCCTCTACCTCTCTTAATCAGACTCAAAGTTATATGTTCCACTCTTCTCACTGGTGCCTCCCTTGGTCTTCTTTGTACATGCCTAAACCATCTCAACCAATTTTCTACCATTTTTTCCTCAATAGGTGTCACCCTCACTTTTTCGCGTACGTGCTCATTTCAAATTTTATCTTTACGTGTATGTCCGCACATCCATCATAACATTCTCATCTCTGCTACTCCAACTTTATGCTCTTGCTGTCCCGTTATAGCCCAGCATTCACTACTATATAACATTGCCGGTCTGATAACAGTGCGATAAAACTTTCCTTTAAGTTTATTAGGCACCTTACGGTCTCAAATAACTCCTTTAGCTTTTCTCCAATTAAACCACCCAGCTTGAATTCTATGTGAAATATCTCCACTGATTTCGCCATCATTTTGAATAATGACTCCCAAATATCTAAACTTTTCCACTTGAGGTATAATTTGATCCCCCAATTTCACTTCCAAATTATTATCGAATAGTCCTTTACCAAATTTACAATATAAATATTCCGTTTTACTTCTACTCAGACGAAAACCTTTCAATTCCAATGTCCTCCTCCATAACTCAAGTTTACAATTAACCTCTTCTCTTGTCTCTACTATAAGAACTATATCATCCGCGAAGAGCATACATTTCGGAATTTCCCCTTGAATATGTTCCGTCAAAACATTTAAAATCAAGTTGAACAAATAAGGACTCAGAGATGATCCCTAATGTAGTCCAATCTTTATAGAAAAATCCTTTGTTTGACCACTAGGTGTTCTTACACTAGTTTTTACCCCCTCATACATATCTTGTATGGCTTTAATATAAGCAATCCGTACTCCCTTTTTTTTCAACGCTTTCCAAAGCACTTCTCTTGGTATACGGTCATAAGCTTTTTCCAAATCAATAAAAACCATGTGTAGATCTTTATCTTTACAACGATACTTTTCCATTAATCCTTAGTAGATAAATCGCTTCTGTAGTTGATCTACCTGGCATAAAACCAAACTGATTCTCAGAAATACTTGTCTCCAATCTCAACCTGTGCTCAATTACTTTCTCCCACAATTTCATTATGTGGCTCATGAGTTTAATCCCTCTATAGTTAGTACAATTCTGAATATCTCCTTTATTTTTATAAATAGAAATTAATGTACTTCTCCTCCACTCATCAGGCATTTTCTCAGACCGTAAAATCACATTAAATAACTTAGTTAACCATCTCACCCCTTCTTCACCTAAACATTTCCACGCTTCGATAGATATACAATCAGTCCGTTGGCTCTACCATTTGCCATTTTCTTAAGAGCTTCCTTTACCTCCTTATCATGTATTATTCGATAGAATGACAAATTTTGTTATCCTTCACCAGTTACTAAATCCTCCAAGTTACTAGATGAACCATCTCCATCATTGAAAAGTTTAGAAAAGTAAGTCTCCCATCTATTTTTAATTTCATCATCTGTAACTAAAATTCTTCCCTCTTCATCCTTAATACACCTTACCCGTTCTAGATCTCTTAATTTTCTTTCCCTACTCTTGGCAATCTTATAAATATTCCGCTCTCCTTCCTTCGTCTCAAGGCTCTTATAAAATTCTTCAAAAGCTTTAGAACGAGCTTCACCCACAGCTCTCTTAGTTTCCTTCTTAGCCATACGGTACCTCTCCCAATTTTCCTCATTGTTACATAAATGTATGGCTTTAAAATAGTTCTTCTTATACTTGATTTTGTCCTGTACACTATTATTCCACCACAAAGACTCCTTATCTCTCGGATCAAAACCTTAATTTGATATTATTATCACCAAACTAAACAATAATTTGATATTAGTCACTTTTTGCTCAAAAGAAAGGCTTCATTAGCTGCTAACACTCCCTCATGCTAGAGCATAGATATTGATCATTCTCTACTTCCCACTAAATTTTTCATATCTGATTCTTGAAAAAACCTTGGTTAGTAGATCCGCAACTTGAGCACTATATCAAGTGCAGGCTAAGTCAACTGTCCTCAACTCAACCTTTTCTTTTATGAAATGTTAGTCGATTTCAACATGTTTAGTTCCATTACAAATTGCTTCTTACTCCTCCAGGTCACCAAGTTGCCATGTGTAGATGTTCAATAATCCATAGTAGATTTTTAATGATTTTATCAAACCACTAATCCAACCTGGTTGAAATCAATCCAAACTTCTACACTCTATATCCTTCCTTTATCCAAAGAAAAGTTCTCTACTATGGGTTGTTTTCATATGCCTGAATTCTATATACTGCTTCCACGTACTCCTTTGTGGTTTACCCATAATTCATAAACTAACTTACCTCACTCCTTGAAAGGCCAATATCTCCGTGAGTGTAAGATGGGTATATTAGCTTTATTACCAATTTGCAGCATTTACCTATATCCACTAGTGTACCCTCTCGTTAGTGTTCAACATTTTAAGTTGCCTCCATGTAAGTTTTAGTTGGCATGGCTCCTATGTTCTATTTCCTTTAGGAATCAATAGTGTGCATCCTCTAAGAATCAGTGACTACTATTCTAGACCTAACTGCCTCCATTCCCATAAAATATCTCAAATTGCCCAGATTTTTCACCTTAAATTCAATTGCTAAGGCATTTTTTAACTCCATATCATCTACTGTCATGGTTATATCATCTACATACATAATTAGGACCAATTCTTCTCATTGGCATGTTTTACAAACAGCTTCTCATCTGCTTATACTTTATACCCTAGAATATTCCATCCTTTAACAGCTTTAGTGAACCTCTCAAACCAAGCTTTGATATCATGCTAAAAGCAGAGGCTCTATTCCATGATGATGAATTCTCAGATGCAAGATGTATTTAATAAGCTAGAAAGCTAAGATAATCTTCACTAATCTACCTGAAAAGATCACCCTGATTGGTCAAAACAAATCTATATTAAAAGCTAATAAATACTAATCAAAATAACAACAAAATAAAGCAACACATTATAATAACTAAATTACTAAACACATCTATGGGCCCAATTATGGGCTTTATTTGCTGCTAACACTGTTTGATAGATAACATTAGAAGCCAGCCCAACGACTCTCAGATCCACAGATTACAAGTTCATAAACATGAACAATCCCAAACTAGAACAAAAATCTCACCAGACATAGTTCTGTTGTCAAATAGCAGATTTACAGATTGCTGAAGATCCATCCACCGCCTGATAATTATTGGGTGATCTAAGTTGTTGAGATAGGCATTTCCTAAGGAAATGTTGGACTGTAGGACCTTAGTCAACAAAACAGTTTGAGGATGCTCCATCACCTAAAATAGACATTTAACAAGTAACTAATGATATTTACAAGCAAAGAATAATTAATGAAATAAAAATCACTACCCTAATCCCTCTCAATTTTGGCAAGAATACAACTACCATAATTTCATAAATGTCACTTTTGAAATAGAAACTTGTAATGCAAGAACAATTTAGACAATCAGCATAATTCAGTAGGTCAAGTTACTTTTGCCCCCAGCCATAAAGTTATTGTTGAAGGTTTTCAAGGATCCATCAATTCAAAGCTTGGGTAGTTTAGTGAAGATTCATGAAGAGTTTCATTAAAATCTACCACAACTCACATGAAATCCTTTGGACTTTGAAGCCAGAACAAAGCACAAGACCACCTTATTTTCTGCTACCACTTAATTTCAATCAACTCAATGGAGGGTAACAAGGATTAGAACTCCACATCACTTGGTAACAGAAACTATAATACAATGTTAAAAGTATTCTACAATCATTTATAATTGTACTAGCTTCCTTCAATACCAACAATACCAAGTTGCAAAAGGAAAAGTTAAAGATAAAATTGCTGACCATGGCACTACAAAGACCTAAGCCCCATGGGACAGAAACTCGAAGAGAGAATAGAAAGGTATAGATAAACTGCAGAGTAAAGTAAACTTCCTTCTCAATGTAATTCTAGTCAAGTGTGGTACATATGTTTAGCACTGAGCCAGGCACGCGTGCATATGGGCTACTGGTCATTGATCAGACATAATACATTTTCAGTATGAGTAAAACACATACGCTTACACCATGGCTCTCTTTTTATTCCAAGTTCCACCAAAAGCAACCTTCATTATTTTAAGGAATGAAGAAGTAAAATTGATGCAAGGAAAAGAGGACAAGTACAACAGTCAACTTGGAACTAATAGCATTACAAAATTGTTAGTTATTGTCATGTGACACCAAATGCTACGATGAATATAAATACCAATAATCCATGACGGCTTTTACAGATGCCAGCAATTATATTCTGTAAAAGAAGAAACTCAGAAGGAAGAAAAAAATCACTTGACAAATTAACATATACTACACTTGCTCATAAACATGATTTAATATGGATACCAAATGACCAAATGTATTCCATTCAAATTGTTTTACATTGGTCTGATATGAAACAGATCAACAAATTTTTTTCACCCATTTTTCCTTGTAATACTTACAGACTCGCCTCCTTTGGTTGGGGGTCGGAATTTGGTTGGTGGAACAAGAATAGTCTCTAGAAAGAACATCAAATGACCTGCTTTCTTTCCAAATCCCAGATCTTGAATGTCACTAATACGAGAACAGAATTGAGGCTCGTTTTTCCACAAAAGTTCCAATATACCTTTAACCTGTCGTCAAGCAAGGCAACTCAGACAGATTCTATAGTAGCAGTGCATATTAACTATGTCACTAACAACAGACTTCATATTCCAAATAAAACCGATGTTATTAATGTTAGTCCTGTACAAAATTAAATCATGTATACAAGAAACTGACCTCTGATGGTAACAAAGGCCCAGAAAATTTCTTATTCTTAGCAAACGCATGAGCCAATTCCTCACGTTTTTTCTGATACCCTTTTGAAGCACTATTAATAGTCCCTGTAGAAGTAGTTGGAGGCATGTCTTCATCTGAATTATCACCATTTTCTGAAGGAATAACATCACTGATAATTTCATCAGCATATTGCCTAATGACATTTCCTCTAGCTTTTTCACTTGAGAGACCATTCTAGAGCCAAATAGCATAAACACCAAGAGGAAGAGAGGAAATGAAGAAAAAATTAGTAATGATGGTCAGTAATGGTCTCAAGCCAACATGACATTATGCACTGTGAAAGGATGCATAAATAATTCACATTGAGAAGTACAATGCCAGCAGTAGAGTTTATGGTATCCAATTCCAAGCCTTGTCAACATCACCCTTAATTTTTTAAAAAAAGAAAAACACAGTGAAACAAATATACAGTTTCTTTTCATATTTCAAAACTTAAAAAAGCATTAAATGAAAATATAAATTTGGAAGGGCAATAACAGTGCCTTACATAAGACCAATATATCTGCCCAACCAAAAGATGCTTATGTCCATAATTTTACAGCACAGCAAGCTTGATGGATCATCAAAATCTTAAACAGTAGTGTGGTGAATTTAAATAATGTTGTGGCAACTATCAATTACATCAGTGCACACAAATAACATTAGACTCAGGAAATATCATAATGATCCCCAAAATAAGTCAAAGCCTAGTCCAAATATATTGATGACGTCTAAAAGGGGAAAAGCACATAAGAACCACGTAGCCAAATCAAACAAGGGGATGCAAGAGTATAAAAGGGGGGAAAAAGTAAAACAAGCGATAACTACATGCCAACTAAAAAAATATAATATGCTGTAACAATTTGAGGCACTTGAAACTCTGAAAATAACAAGAGAACAACTGGTAGAAACTAAATATCAAACTCCTAAAAGCAACAACCAAAACATAAAAGAAAAGACATGTAAACTCTGCACAGACTGAACCTAACATTGATAGGTAAAAAAACTATAGGTTAGAGCTTCGTGGTAACTAACTTTTGAATGCAAGCTTCAGCAGTGAGAAGTCAAGAGACTCACCACATTAAACCACCCAAAGGTTGGTTTACTAATTTTCGGATTAGAAAACCCACAATTATTACACTTCTTGTTACCCCGTCTCAGAAAATTGTTTAGAACAGACATTGCTTCACTAAATTGATGTGAGTTCCACTTCACTTGCAGGTGCTCAGCACTATGACACTGTCTCCGGTCATCATCACACATACATGTGGATTCACTTGGGTCAGGTGAATCCAATTTTTTGGCCCCAACAATATCCCCTTTCACAATGAGCTCCAATTGGGATGAAATTTTGTCCACCTTGAATTAATATAAGACTGTGAATAATGGCCGAAAAATGCATAGACATCTAAACTTATTAAAGAAAAAAAATGCAGAAACTACTCAAACAGTTATGATAATTTTCTAATAGACCCGCATTAATGCAAGTTTACCTCATGTCTGCTGGCCCGAAAGCAATGGCAAGAGAAACAAGTTCTTTGCAGAATACTGCTAAGTGCATTGAACAGCAAAGGGTTATAGACTGGGGAAACAAGCTCAATACGACCAAAATGACCTGGACAATGTTTTGAAGGCTGACCACATGATTCACAACTACACCAAACAAAAGAGATGTATCAACCACACAACTTGAGTTGATGATTTCTAAATGTAAATAAGGGACACCTGGGATTAGTAAAACATGAAATTTCATTTCATATGAATAATGCTGCCCATTACCTATATTGATATGCTCCTCTGGTCCTATATATAACGTACTTTTTAGAAGCATTTGATGGTCTTTTGTATAAGACACTTTAGTTTATTAATGAAGCATTAAATATTGTTTCCAACTTTGCCCGATCTTTCTCTCTCCCCCTAATTGTTTGTACTCTGCAATACAATCATAATACTCTTATGTTTCCCCTTCATAATTTTGTGTGGGAACCAAATTTTGATATTGAAAATTCTCGTGGGAAGCAAATTTTGATATAAAAAAATTTGAGAAAAGGAAATTAATGGGATGTGAGGTAGTTCCCTACATAGTGGGATAAAGCTTGTCGTTAAGAGAGGCAATTATATCTTAATTCTAAAATGTTGGGATATTTTTTAATAAATTCAAGACTATTAAGTAATCTTAATCAGCTTTCTTGATCCATGTGCATCGATTAAAAATGATTTATAGATAAGACCAGGAGGAGTCTGATATGGCAGAAGGAGATGAAGAAAGAGAAAACAGAATAGAAAACATAGGAGAACTAGAAAGAAGAGACAAAGACGAGAGATAGATAGATAGAAGAGAGGATGGACACTAAACAATAATTTTCATTTGCAATCACAAGCATAGCTCGAGGTTACAATTAGGGTCCCTTATATAGGTTCTCAAATCCTTTATTCTCTGCAGCAACTAACTAACCAACCAACTAAATATTCTTTATTTCTTTATTTATTCTTTTCATATCAGAGTCCCTTTCTTTTTTTTTAAATATCTCATTAAGAGATCTGAAATACAAATCCAAGGGGCAAGAAATCAAATTAAAAACCAGAAATCTAGGAAAACCAAACTGAAACAAAAATCAAAATTCAGTGGTTTAAAAGTGCTTTGAAACCTTCAATTCCATAAATAAAGACATATCTGTCTAACAATAATTCTGGAGATTAAATACATGGCAATGCTTATATAAAATGTAACTTTTTTAAAATAGAAAAATTAAGCTTTGCGTAAAAATAAAGATTTCCCGTACAGCTCTAAAAATATGATCATCATCTACATACAGAAGACAGAAGATCACCTTCAAAGTCACAAACTTTCACTAGTCAAAAGCCAATTCCCACACTCAAATATATCAAATATCATATTAGAAATTAAAAAAACTTTTGATGCGGTCAAACATTGTTGAAACATACAGAGTCCTGTCATCCGATGGGCCTAATGCAGGATCATACAGTCCACCGCGCACGGGCCGTTCTACACCATCAAGCAATATGGGATTTGTTATCTTCACAAAGCTAGTCTTCTGTATTTCTTCAGTGGTCAGGAAACTGAATGCAACTGCCTCAACAGAATCCGTTGCACACTGAAAATTATGAGTTCAGATTTCAGAAAACTGTGCTAGATCAAATGACTGAGAGAGAAGAAACAACATAAACAGAATTTTTGGCAATATTTTAGATGGATTGGAAGTGACAGAAAGGAAGCAACAACATTAGGGGGTGGTGATCAAAAGTATCAAATCCTCTAAGATGGATCTCGTCTGCATTCATTCAAGAAGAAATACAGAATTCAAATTATAACTTATTGTTGTAGTAATAGTAGGAGAAGTAATAATAATAGTACTAATAATACTGCTACAATTGTGTACATACACACATGCATATATATGCACATGCACGCACGCACGCACGCACACATCTTAAATCTTCAATAGCTTTAATTCCTTATGGTTTGTATGAACAGGGGTGGCATTGCATAACAGCACTGTTATTCTCGTAATTAAATTGGACGGAGTCGTAGAATTACACCTACAAATAACTTCATGATTAGATGCATCAAAATTACCCATATTTCATGCTTAACTGATTACACTTCTCTCTCAATGGGGGAAAAACCAACCGACGGTGATTCTTTATGCCTATCCCAGCATTAAAATTTAAAACCTTTATGGAATTCAGCCATGTCAGCATCGAAATGGAGAATGAGAATGATAACCAAACACGTCTGGGTGATTGTTCAACCATAAATAACACGTACTCGTGATAACAGCAAAATACAAAATATTCAGTGAACATTTGTGTTATAAAGATTGCAATTAACCGCATAACATATGACCAAAGGGAGTTATACTCATTGCTCAACTCTGCTTGAGAAGCCACCAGCTCACATTGCATTGACATACCACCATTCGCTAAAAACTACAAACGCAGTTAACTTATGTTTCTTCTATAAAGTCACTTCAGCACAACCAAATTGAAAAAAATGATACCTCGGGTATCTTAGCCATGTTGGGCTTTGCAGTGAAAAGAGTGGGGCCGTTGCAGCTACAGCAGAAGCTGAATTGTAAAAACTAAAGAGGACGAAGGATTGAAAGCGGCGGAGCTAATGTTACTGCCGATGTTTAGGGTTTTGCTTGGTTCTCGTCTTCCAATTTGCTCTGTGAGAAAGTGAAGAAGAAAGAAAATAAGCGAGGGAGGCGACGCTGGCGACGAGCCGGCTATGCCCGTCTATTCTCTTGCTCCCCAAGTTTTTTCAATTTGTTTGCGAGCATGTCCTTCCGATTGAAGAACCCTTGTTCGGGATATGCAGTCCGGCCCAGACCAGTCCTTGCGGCCCAGTTTTCATCAGCCTTGAAGAGCAATGCTGATATTTGTAGTTTTGTTGGGCGGGGGGGAAAATGAAACGTGGCTTGGTTATATTAATTAATTATTAATAAAGCAATGAGTACTTGCTCAAGTGATTATAAACTTGGACAACTTAATTTGGGGTCTCATGTTTGAATCCAATAAAAAAAATTATAAAAATTTAAAATAAAATTTGATAAAACTATAGGGATCAATTATTGTATTTTTCCTCCAATATTTATAATACATTCTTAAAGGGGAGTTTTACTGAACTATTATAAAACCAAAAATATTATATGATAGTGAATATTAAGCTTTAAAGAAATAGCAAAAATATAAAGTTGGAATAGAAGAGTTGAGAATGTTGAGGTGAAAATACACAAAAAGATAAAATCTGAAATGAGCATGTACGATAAAAAATGAGAGTGGTATTTATTAAGGGAAAAATGATTGAAAACATCATTTGAGATAATTTAAACATGTACAGAAAAAGCTATGGAAGGCACTAGTGAGGAGAACGGAACGGATAATTTTAAGTCACATAAAAAGGGTAGAGAAAGACAAGATAAAAAACACTTATAAAATTGATTGAATGAGACATTTTAATTAATAATATTCTTAAATATTTAGTTGTTGATATAATACAATAGCGTCATATAATCCACATAACTGACCCTAACTAATAGGATGAGACTTATTGTATTATTTTTTTGAGATTAAAAACTTGACAACTCTATTAGAAAATTATCACACAATGGGTAATTCAACATGAAACTAATAATGAGAAATTAATATATTTGATCTCAAACTTTATTTATCTATTAAATTGATTATGTATTGATGATTCAGTATGTGATCTTTTAGTATTATTTTTGTTCTTAAATTTCATTTTATTTCCATATAGCCATACAATTTAATCTCAAGAAACTTTTGACTATAATTTATTTAGACAAAAATTAATCATTTAATCCCTATAATTTTAGCCCAATTGTAAGTCATTCATTAAAAATTGACTCATTGTAACTCATTTTCTCTTAATTTTAACTTAACTGTAACTCAATTCTTAAATTTTTTTTTTTTGCAATTTAATTTCTATGATTTTAACCACTTAAATATTGGGCTCTCATATTTTAAAAAATAAAATTATAATGATTAAAAATATTTTAAACATTTAATATTTAAAATTATAATATTTTAAACTTTAATATTTATAATATTAGAAATAAATTTATAAAAATTAAAATTATGTTAAAATTTGTTACTAATATTTTAAATTATTAAACCGTTTTAATTTTTATAAATATTATAAATATAAATATTAAATATTTAAAATATTTTTAATCCGTATACTTTTATTTTTTTAAATATAAGGATTAATATTTAAGTGGTTGAAATTATGGAGATTAAATTATAAGAGAAAATGTTTAGAGATTAAATCACAACTAAGTTAAAACAATAAAGATTGAATTACAATAAATTAAAATTTAAAAATTAAATTACAACTGAATTAAAATTATAAAAACTAAATAATTAATTTTTTCATTTATTTATAATAATTCTCTTTTTATTGACAAAATCCACTTAGTAGTTACTTCGACAATATATCATCAGGGATAGAAGGGAAACCGTAAACAATAACTAGGGTAATAAAAACAAAAAATACAACTAGACTTGCTTTTGCCACGTGGCCGCACTAGATTTTTTTCCTTTTTTTAAACAAATGGACAGAAGCAATACACCGCCGAGCATCGTACGAAATACAAAAGACGAGCAGAAGAAAATGCACAGATGATTGGTGTTACAATGGAATAATCGTGGAAACAAAAATTGGACATCAAGTAAGGTTGTGCTTATCACTTTTTTTTTTTTTGGTAAAACACTTTTTCTACTCTCAACATTCTTCTGCAGCCATTCTCGACCGTCTGTACAAATTAAATCCCATTAATTAATTAGAAAACTAATGAATCGATAAGCATACAAACTACACGGAAGAATTTCTTCAGGGACCCATTTGGTTGTGGTTTAGTTTGGCCCAAGCCCCTTTCCCCCCCGGAAAAAGAATTACTACATGCATTGCAACAGAGTGAATTTTCAAAGCTTTCAACAGAAGTCCCCAAAACCTACGAACACTAAATTAAATCCCCCAAATTGTGGCCGTAGACAAGGCCCTTTCGTAAGGAAGATTTGGAGAAGCGTGTAAAATTTAGTGTGGTTTGTCATGTCCTGACTCTTCTTTTCCTCCCCTGTTTCTAGGCTTTGCTGGGGTTACCTTGGCATGTGTTGAACGTTCTGATTGAGAAAACAGAATCAATATATGCATCAGGACAGTAATGACTGTCAAACCCAGAGCTAGAAATGCAACGCCCTTCCAGGATGATAGAAATGATGACCATCGGAGGAACTTCACAGCCCCAGCAATAACCAGACAAGCCCAAGAGGCCACAACCTGCTCCCAAGTCCCAAAATAAATGTGATCGTAAATTATGAAAATTAAGCACGGTGAATGTAAGATAAGGACATTTAAGTAATAGCTTCATGAGCTAGACGTCTTTAGAGAGTCCTACCAGAAGAGACTTTACTGGTCTGCCAGTATTTTGCAGCTCTTGATCAGGAAAGGTATCCTCAGCTATATGTCTGTCTAGCAATGCATCCTGGTTCGCCCAAGGAAGAACAAGTAAAATGAATGAGACAGTAAAGGACTCACGCCCCATGCATGAATGCAGAGAAGCATGCAACAAAACAAGAGGAACAAGTTCACAAATTGAGATGAGTCATTTGATGTGCACAAAATTTTTTGGAGTCCAATTTCAACATGCACCTTAGCCGCAAATATATCTCGACACCACTGGGAGACAGCCTCCTCTGTTTCAGGCAATTCCTTCATCAAATGACGTTTGATATGCACATGCACCTGACAGGTGAAAATTGGGAACCTTGATTGGCTTAACAAGAAATATTCAAAGCGACCTTAATAGTCAATCACACTTGATCATAATAAGCTTGGTGGAAGAGAAAAGGAGAGGGATTTAGACTCTAAAACCCAGCTTTTATGGCTTTACCACTGAAGGTTGCCCCTTGAAGAGCCTTAGCATTGTAGGAGCTGGTGAACTTTTGGGAATAGCCACAGTCACATCATAAATGGCAGGAACAAATGAGCGCATATGACTTACTGCGGAAACAAAACCCTGCAAGCAAAATAATAGAATAAATAATTATGTGCAAGCCACAGACGAGAGTGATGAAGCCCTAGTACACTAGCACCCCAAAATTACAGTTAGTCAGATTGAATATATCACTTGTTTAGATTTAGAACAAAGAAGTAAGCAAAATCAAGTCAATATCTCAATTCAACTAGAGGGAACGCAATATTCATGGATCCAAAAACATGTCAATTTACATATAATGACAACTTGACAAGTAAAATTAAGGAAGTATGATTCATAGAATTGTGCTATGTCAAAACGTAGAAGAAGACAGAACCCACCAACCCAGATAAACCAGAAAACTAGTAGCTTTTCACGCTCTTCTATCTACATTCTCTTCCAATTTCGTCTTGTCATTATTTATTACAGGGCAAAAAGACAGTTTAACAAATTACACCATGTACACAAAGAGGCAAACAGGCCCCTTGAATAAATTATCTTCTAGTGAAGAAAAGAATTTAAATACTACTACCATAGAAGTTTAGAATTTTAACTTTTATAACACAGATTTGAAAATTTGCGATTCAACAAATTCACCTAGTTGACTAAATAAGCATCTTCCACAAAAATGAATCCAAGTTGGTTAAATCTCTAGGTCACATCCGCATGGATTAATGTAACAAACTTGTCTTCAGATATATCTGTACGTAACGCTTTTCAAAGTCCTCAAATCAATTCACAAGTCCATGAAAAATGTTATATGAGCCTCGTAGTACCTGCCTATGTACCATGACAATCTGCCTGAATATTATACAAATATAGATGTTACTCGATTCTTGCTCACAAATCCATGAAAAATGTTATATGAGCCTAGTCGCACATACCTAAGTAACATGACAATTCACCTGAATTTTGTAAGAATATAGATGTTACTCGATTCTTGCAAACTGGTTCCCAATCGAAGAAAATAAAATCAGACCCCGGGGTTGGGATGGTGGGGGACAAGAGAAGATAATGGGGTTTGAAATTCACCTTTGTTCGAGGAATCAAAACATTTCTAGGAACAGGCAATCCTGTTGACCTTGCATATTCCTGAGCAGCTAATAGTTTTGCCTGTGTGAAACGAGTTCCTTCAACAAAGAGAGCCAACCAAAAGGGAAGAGGGAAATCCCTAAGTCGTTCAAGACCTGACTGCACATACAGTATTGCAGGATTCAATTGAGATTCACAAATGTAATTTAGGAAGGGAAAAAAAAAAGGCGCACACACAAAAAAGAAAGAACTTTTACAGCAATTTTAATATCTTGGTGCGTAGGCATGATTTATGAGTAAGTCTACATTAAAAAGTATAATTAAAAATATTTTAGTAACACGTACCTTTAATGTGCTTTCATCCTTGGCCCAACTTCTCTCCAGAAAAAGATACTCAGAGAACCACATTGACCAGCCAATGACCTATACGTAGAAATTAGCATTAATATCAAAATTGAAGGTATAAATGAGATATCATAGGCAGAAACAGTTAATGCTTTATATTTTGAACCATGAATGGTCTATAGTTCGAAACAATTACAACTAATGAGAAACCTTTTTTTTTTTTTTGGTTTCTTCCAGCCTAATAAATGCATTCACTATGTTTACAGTAACTAAAAAGGCAAATAAAAGAATGATTATACAATTGCCATTTTGGAGACATGCACATAAGTTGAATGTGTAAGAGAATTCATGGTGTTAAAGTCATCAGATATGCAAGGTCTAAATAGCATTTTGTGAGTGTGTTGGGGGGTGGGCAGGGGGGAATAAATCCTTCAAACACATATAGCACATAACGCAAATCTCAATAAGATGCAATCCAGAATTTTTAAAACTCATCTAGTCGACTAGTCTTGCCAAAACAGTCAAACAAATTTATTGGGCTATCCAGCAAATCTCATCTCACAGTGGTTCCATGGTAACCCTGACTATATTCTCCCAATACGTGCCCCACAAGATCAACCACAGTCCATACATCCTTCAGCATGATGGTTAGTCAACATGGCATACTCATGAACATTTTAATCATTTGACCTGACCACAAACCTAAAGATAGTAGGCATTCTAGCATATTAATAAGTCATCATCAAGATGAAGGATATAGAGGGTGTTTGGATAACACGTTGGGGTCCAAAACATAAAAGGACTTTGTGAGCGTTTCGTTTCCAATTTGTCAAAAGTACTTTTGCCAAACTGAATTTTACTAGGCTGATGTTCAGATAAAAGTAAGTGATTATAACGAGATTCATATTTGAATACTTTTTTTAAGAAGTTATGATAGTAAACAGAAAAAATGTTTGAAAATTTACGCATTTAAAAGTACTTTTGATTCTGACTTAAGACATCCAAAAACTTTTCAATTTACCAACTTGACTTCTTAAAAAAGGTATTCAAGCATAAATCCAGCTACGATAACTTAGTTTTATCCAAACTTCAGTTTGCAAATATAGTTCTGACAAAAGAAACCCCGCACGCGCACACACACAGTGAGGATCCAAATTCTCTACCAGCCGTTTCAAAGTTCATTAAAGCTAAACCTCTAGGACCAAGGGAGTATAGGGGAAGAAAGGCAACAAAATCAAAACTTTCATTCCATCATCTATAAAAGGCTAACCTAACCCTAAAGATTGCACATGGAGTCCAAGAGATAACTACTACTAACATCAAAGGATAATTATGATACTAAACAGAAGGATAATATAAGCCTTAAAAAAGCTAATTAAAGCCTGACAAAAAGATAATCAAATTCAAAACGAAGCCAACTAACCCAAAAGCTTCAGTCCGTGATTTCTCTTTGATAAATTTAATATAATCTCTAAAAGATCGTTCGATAAACCTAACCAGCCAGCAGACCATACCACTAATAGCTGATTCTTGTAAAAACACCAATTCTATATTGCTTCCTTTCATACTTTGATATCAGTTTTGTCTTACGCCTATAGTTAAATGGCTAAATCATGACCAGTAAATGATAAGAACCTTCCATCTTGTCATTTGAAAAACATTTGCCAGCAAACATACCGGAAGACGTTTTGAAGACTTCTTCATCACAGCCAGAGTGCTGCCAAGGCAACCTGAACGCTGTTAAATAATGATATTCAAAAATCAATCACCAATTGAAGAACAAAAATCAAACTGTATTGGTCAAAAGCTACTCATCTCTGCACAATAAATGCATTCACAGATGAGCTAACTTTCTAGCATTGTGTGTGTGCGCGCGTGTGTGTGAAAACGATCACACTAGATAAGGCATTCACCTCAGCTAAAACCCATCCAACAAGCCAATCAATATCACTTCTGTGGTTGGATATGACAAGCGCATGTTCTTTACCTGGAAAATCCACAACAGAATCATATTCCTTAGATGAAAACTATTTTTTGGCACAGAAGTGTTTCCTTTTTCATTACATGACAAATTCTTGCGTGCACACAACACAAGAAAAACGAGTACAGGCACCTCTGGGGATGTGGGGTCATGCATGGGTCAGAAAGAGACTTACCCATTAAACGAAATGTTTCACGATCTGTAAATAGCTGGATCTGGAGACATGCCAAACAAATCATAAAATTGCAGCTCAGATATCATGTCATTTACATTCAAAAATCCTTTTCTTTATTAAAATCAGGTTTTCATACCTGCCACAAGCTTCGGAATGGTTAGATTGTCCCTTAAATTTCAAAAATCAAGAATAAAAAGAATATCCATTATCCACACAATTCAGCTTCCATTTTAAGGAAACTAACTTCCACGGAGAAGGCAGTGCTGATCAGGTATAAATGTGATTGGCTCATTAAATACTTATAACAATCCCGATGTCACGTCTGAAATATGGACTAACACAAAATGCAAGCAAAAGAACAGCAAGAATCTAAATGGTGAACTGAAAGTTAAAAATTAAAATTGTCAGAATCAGAGAGTTCGCAGAACTGGTTAAATACCTTAACTCCAGCCCACCAATCAATCAGCCATACAAGTTCCAGCCACAAAAATTCTGCTACTACCCTATTGATCCGTCTATACAAATTCTTTGACAGAGGCCGTACAAGTACATAGCATATTGCCTGAGGCAAAGGAAATCAATAGGTCAAATTGATTATCCACCGAAAGGAACTCAAAATTTTTCTTACATCTTTTTCACTTTTTGATTAACATTTCGTATCAAATTTTCTAAAGATATTTAAGCTTTTATCCAAGTGAGAGAAAACATTAAAAAAAAAAAAATCTTATCTTGCGCATTTAGTTTACGTTCACCGTGAACAGAGTGATGAAATTGTTATCCAAGACTTCCAGCACACCATTTGAGATTTCTTCCCATCTATGAAATGAGTTTTACGAACTTTCAAAGAGTTCTCGTAAGCTCTAAGTAGATGGGAATCAAGTGAGTGAATATAAGACCTCCCTTTAGGAGCCATTGTGTATGCTGATGCGGTCATGCCAATTGATGCAATGATTCCATTGTATTGCCCTATCCCTTCATGCTAGGCATCGCCAGACATTCACTTGACAATGGCTCAATAAGCCCGGATAAAGGGGTCAACCCCGAATATATGGTACTTCAACGGCTAGATTGAACTCAAAATTTATCATCCATGTTCAATTCTGAATTTAAGGGGGGCGTAGTTAGATAGATAGCATCCTTTCGCACATTGGTGACAAAGGAGAAGTTGCAGAGCATGAGACACTTTTTTCTTTAGTGTTCTCCAGCATTCAATAAACTCTGGATTTTGGCGGGGGCACAGGAATGTTTGTTGCGTATAACAACGAAGGAGATGAGAAGGGTATAGGAACAAAAAGGGAGAGGAGGTCTGGTGCTAAACGAAGTAAAACAATAGACTAGATTTACATGAGAGGTCGTTGGCTGCTCCCGCAGAACAACCCTCGATAGTTCAGATAAAAGCATTTTTCCCCTTCGAGAAGTCACTAAAAAGCACAAATACTCGAATAGCAAAACCATCAAGCTAGGTCCATACTCCAGTGATACAACCAAAAGAGAGAACATCATGATCGGTCAAAAAAAAAAAAACCATGAATAAAGGCAAGTTGACAACGTAGAAATTTACCCGAACAATATAAAGCAGATGAAAAACTCGGAAAACAGTTAACAGATTAAAAAACTTAAAAATAAAACATATTAATAGGAATTACTAAACAGATTAGGGAAACCAAGAGGGTAACCTGAATGAGATTAACAAGAAGGCCAGAGGCGAAGAAGAGCAGACCCAATGGCACGATGACAGCTGCTGCCGCAACAGCCATGGCCACACAGACACGCACCCTCCGCTTTCCGATAGAAGGAAGAAGAGATTCAAGGGGGAAGAAAAAAATGGGAAACGGAAGGAGCACAGAGAACGATAGAGAAATAAATAGCGGAGTAATGAGATATGGATTAAGGTGAGAATTGTCTAGGGTCGAGAGTTGCGTGCCTAGTTGACATGGATAATTGATCTATGTCTCGCTCTCTCGCTGAGGGGGCATGAAATTGTGAATTCCAGCTTCCAAGTTCTAACCTTCCACAGGCACAGCCAGTGTTTACCGATTCAGGGAAATTGAGACGGTGCGCTTTTACTTTTAAGTTTTAACGATTGGGCTCTCCATGTTTCCTTCATCAAGAAGAGAAATAACTGTTTGCTTTTTAACAACGCCCCCAACGAAAATTATCGGTTTCTTTTCAACCCCCAATTTATTTCACTCTCGAGTAAATCTTTCTGAAAATAAATTGCCTGACTGTGTTTCTTAATTAAGATAATATACCTTTGTCCTTAAATTTTCTCCCAATTTATCAAGCTAGTCCTTAACTTTAATTCAATGTAATTTATACCCAGTTTGATACGTTGAAATAAATTTTGATAAAAATAAAAATAGATATGAGAATGAAAATAAATATGAAAGTAAGGTTTAAAAACATGTTTGGTATGTCTATGAACACATGATATAATTATCATTTAAAAGATTAAAATACCCTCCTCAAACCACACTCAATCTTCGCAACAAAAAAAAAAAAAACATAACCATCATCTAGTTTCAGTCTGCCAAAAGAAAGCAAATGAAATTTGTTTTTCTGAAATCAAACCCATTGATCATCTTGTGCAAGATTACAATTGCAATCCAGCATTTGAAAAACAAAACAAAACAAAACCACCATCTTATTCCGTCATGCTTTGCTCTCTGATGATGATGCCTATCAATGTCTGTAACTTGAGCAAAGCTCCTGCTCTAGCCCTCTTTCATTGTGTTGTTCATCACTTCGATGCTATTGATTTGTCTCCCAAGGCAGGTCTAGATTTTGGTCGATGATGATGGTTTAGGAAATGGAATTGATAGTGAGGGGCAAGAAGATAAAAAAGTCATCAGCAAGGAGTATGGAGAAGGTAGTCGACGAGAGGGGAGGAGGAGGTCGCTTGTGAGAAGTGGGGAGAAGGTCACGGACCTGAGGGGGGAGAAATTCGAACTTTGAGGAGGACAATAAGCAACATTGTCATTGAACATGAGGTGGGGGTAAAAATGAGATGGAAAACATGAACTTTGAAATTCTTAAGCTTTATCATGGAAGCCAATTCCACATGTTTTGGTGGAAATGGAATTATAAAAATTTTCAATTCCATCATATTAAATAAACACTTTTCTCAATTCTGATTCCAATTTTATTTTCATACCTCTCATTTTCATCATATCAAAAAGACTCTTAATCTTTGTAATTTATTAAGATAAGGCATTACACGAATTAAGTTGTGTGGAGTTGAAAAATTATAAGAATATAATTGTTTTGAGTTAATAAATCAAAAAAGGACTAAGTTATTATGAACTAAAGTTTAAGAATTAAATTGATATTTGAAGTAAAGTTAGGGACTAGAAATTATATTTTTTCTTTGTAATATTATTTATATTTTAATCGTGTCAATATTATATATGGTTATTTCATATTTAATTTCTAATATATATGATTAAATAATTAATTCAATTGGCATGAATGGAAAATTAAGAAATACTCAGCGGTCAAAACATACAATTTGACCGGAAGGAACTTTTAGACTAGAGATATGGACCTATGTGTTCAGTGAAATAGATTACAGCATAGAGAATTATCAACTATGGTATGTTTCAATTCAATTTAAATTTAACCTCAAATAACTTAAAAAAAAAAATCGCCAGTCACTCAAATAATCAGTATAAATGCATGTAAATACAGACACCCGAATTATGTATTGTAAAGTTAAGTGGCAAGATGTGATTTTATTTAAAAAGATTGTAATTGTAATTAGTCAAAATTTTGGGACTTGGAAGCATGAGATTGCTTTTCGGCGTCTAGGCTCGGAAAGGATCAACGATCAAGTTATCCAGGAGATTCATATCCGCTCGTTGTTGGGTCCACTTGAGATTTTAGCTCAGCTTCAGGGCCCGTCATTCCATTGGCCAATGTCATTTTGACGTCATCGTTTCATTGACAGAGTAAAGGTCCGTGTGTTAATAAAATGACTTCGTAACGTTATGCCATGACAAATTCTGCAAGATAATCTTGCAAATGCAAGCTATTGGAAGTTGGAACGCTGTTGAACAATGATATTAAAAAATCAATCACCAGTTGAAGTACAAAAATCAAACTGCTTTGCTCAAAAGCTACTGATCTCTCTGCAATAATGCATTCGCAGATGAGCAAATTTTCTAGCATCGTACACATGAAAAAGATCACAATAAGGCATTCGCCTCGGCTAAGACCCATCTAACAAGCTAGTCAATATCACTTCTGTGATGGGAGAGGCAAGCGCATGTTCTTTACCTGGGAAATCCACAACAGCATCATATTCTTTAGACGCAAACAACGTTTTTTGGCACAGAAGTATTTCCTTTTTCATTGCAAAACTTGCACCCACAGCACAATAAAAACGAGTAAAGGCACCACTAGGGATGGGGGGTCATGCATGGATCAGCGAGAGACTTACCCATAAAAAATAGTAATTTTTTTGTCTTTTTTTTTATAATTTTTGGAACATTGTGTTATTTATTTTACTTGATAATGCTACCATCCAATTCATTTATAATGAGCAATTTATAAATGTAACAAATATTTCTTAAGTTTTGTAGCTTTTTTTAATTAATTATGGGTATCTTTTTGTTAAAGGCAATCCTATTTAAAGTAAAGCTGGGCACTAAATCTTTCCTATTAAATATTAAAACCTTAGTTTGTTAGATTGTAAGAATCAGCTTCTTCTGCTAGGCTTAACACCCCTTAGTAAATTTTGTAGTTTTTATTTATAAAAAAAGATAATAAAACTTTTAAACCCTTAAATCTGCTTCAATTATTGATTTTTGTTCCCAAAGTTTAGTTTTCATTGATATGGTTCCTTATGCTTTCTTAAATCATCAAGCAAGCTATATGAGTTTTATAACACAAATTGATTATTAAGGTAATCTAATGTGTGAAATATATTAATAACTTATGACGTATATTTCTTCTTGGAATAAATTATTTCTCAAATTAGCTTAATTTTTATCAATATAATTCTTTACATCTTATTTTGTTCTTTTGTTTTTTAAAAATTTTGAACCTATTTTTTCTTACCTAAATACTTATACTCATTTCTCCTAATCTAAATGGTTGTCATTAATATTTTATTATACATGTTAACAAATTTTAATGATATAATTTTCTTTTTAAACAATAAAAATTAAATCAATAATCAAGATAAATTTAAGAAGTTAAATTGATAACCAAACAATGGAACCACGTTAGTGACACCGTCCATTTCCCTCTAGGCTTTCTCTCGTAGATCCACCACGAGCACTTTCTCTCCATCATTTGACTATTTTGTTCTGTTAATCTTGCCAATAACTAATTGATGAGAAATGTTTTGTGTATACCACCCAATTTTTTAAAAACTGCACCGGATGGTGAATTAAAAAAATTAATAAATTATAATTATCATGATTTAATTGGTTAAACTGATTGTTGAATCGGTCATGTTTAATTTAATTTTTTACATAATATACATATAAAAAATATAAAATCAATCTATATTTAAATAAAAATATTTATTCATAGAAAAAAATTATAAAATATTTATAATTAATTTCTTAGCTTACTTAAAAAAATAATATTTTAATAAATTTTATTTCATCTCGCCATTTTGCAGGAATAGCATAGGTATCTCATAAAAAAAAATCAAAATAATATCAATTTAAAACATTCTTTCTCAAACCTCTTTATGTTGGCCAGTTAAAAATAATTTTTATTCCCTTTTTTTTTCTATATTCCCGTCTCTTCCACAGTCCCATTCTTTATTGGTTAATATTAAATAAATATGACACGAGAAAAGAGAATGGTAATGAATTGACAGACATTAATGTTTCTTTACTCCGACAGATAAAAACCTACCCGGGCTACCCCCATTCAGTCTCTTTTTCTGCTTTGTTCGTCGTCGTCTTCCTCCATTCGCTTGCAACAGTCGGATTTGCTTAGAATCTAACAATCTAGTAGACCTGGTGGTTTTGTATCATGGAAAATACGCTGAGAATGTTTTATTTTGTTGGTTTTTTTCTTTGAATCTCTACTATTTTTCTATTTTCATCTTCTTTCTCCGTCTCTTCCCCGTGTCTTCGCCCCCAGAGTGTTCAGATGACCCGCCCAGGTCGCTCAAAAGCTGTTCTGAGCTGATGGTTCAATCTGGTTCTCTAAGAACCTCCGGTCCGACACAGTTTGAAATAGCTCAACTGCCAGAGCGGATTAATGGTCCAAATCGAGCCGCCTTCATGAACGGTCAACGGTTCGATCAGTCGGACCACCTGAGTCGGTCGGATTTTCAAAACACTCATGCCACCTTATTTAGTCATCCTATTCTGTAATGATTACTAGTGTGAGGTAGGACGACAATGATTCCTATGACCGTTGAAAGAGACTAGATTATATCATGCCTCGCAAATAGAAAGTGACTGATACGGCACACATCTCTCAAATTTTAAATTATTTTTTTAATTTTTACAAATATAATTAAATTTATATCCAAATTTCAATATCCTTAATAATATTTATTATAATAAAAATTTTAATATTTTTATATAAATTTGACAAAAGCTTCCAAACAAAAAAAATATTACTATATGCATTTAATGGTTTGGAATTATATTCTTCAACAATAAATAATCAATAAAAAAAATAAATAAAATTAGAATTTTGTCTATAATTAATGTGAAATACTTAAAATATAATTTTAAAACAAAACACATTATTTAATTTTTACATTAAAAGAAAATACATTTTTAAAAATAAATATTCACCCAACACAATTATAAGTCTCTTAATGATTAGCAGGAGGTTCAATGTTAAATGAATCTAAGACTAAAATATTTTTTAGTAAATAGCATCCCCAATAATATAATAAAATTTAAAAGAGTAAAAACAATATATTGAAATGATTATATAAAATAATTAAAAAGATAATAATTTAATATAATAAACATAATAAATATGTAAATTATAATCATAACCATAAATTGAGAGTGGATTGAAATTATTTTATTTTATCATGCTTGAAGAAAACAACTTACCCATATGT